TTCAGTGGGTCTCAGGTCAATCCAAAATTCAAGCAAACAGATGTTATTCATTTGCTTTGGACATCTTGTCCAATTCTACCTGAGAAAGCTACACCTTCAAGCATAAAGGACCAGGAGGAGAGCACTGTCACTGGACAGGAACAGCTTGACCAAGTGCTAAACATGTTAGGCGTCAACTTGGATCCACCATTGGAGAAAGTTATAAGTAACTGCAAGAATATCTGCAACATATCCAATCCAGATGATGAAATGGTGAAAACCAGGAACAAAGTTTTGAGATCCACATATGAGTTCCTCAATGCAGATAAAAGAGATTTCCGTTACCAGCTCCGTGGGGTGGCTTTTGTCATGGTTGAAGATGGCTGGAAATTGCTGAAACCTGAAGAAGTGGTCATTAATTTGGACCATGAATCTGACTTTAAACCGTACTTGTACAAATTACCTCTGGAACTGGGTACTTTTCATCAACTGTTCAAACTTCTTGGCACAGAAGACGTTGTTTCAACCAAACAATATGTTGAAGTGCTGTGGCGCATTTACCGAAGTTCAGAAGGAAAACAGCTTGACCCAAATGAAATGAGAACTGTGAAAAGGGTTGTGTCAGGATTGTTCAAGTCTCTCCATAATGATCCAGTGGAAATTCGCAAAGACCTGGAGAGTCTCAGAGATTTGATATTTTATCTGCCAAGTCATGATGGCAGATTAGCAAAGTCCAGTAGCTTGGTGTTTGATGATGCCCCACACTACAAGAGCAGAATTCAAGGTAATGTTGGGGTTCAGATGCTTGTTGACATGAGCCAATGCTATCTGGGCAAGGATCATGCCTTCCACACAAAGCTGATCATGCTACTTCCACAGAAACTAAGGCCTAGACTGTTGAGTAGCATTCTTGAGGAGCAACTTGATGAGGATTCTCCAAAAATGTGCCAGTTCGGAGCTCTTTGCTCACTACAAGGTCGACTTCAGCTTTTGCTGTCATCAGAACAGTTCATCACTGGATTGATCAGAATAATGAAACATGAGAATGATAACGCATACCTTGTGAATGAAGAAAAAGCGATACGACTCTGCAAAGCACTTTGTGAAGGTCTGAAAGTGTCCTGTTTTGAGAAACTCCAGACAACTCTAAGAGTGAAAGGATGCAGTCCGATCCCACACAGTCGCAGTGAAACACTTGCCTTCCTGAAGAGATATGGGACATCAGTGATTCACCTGTACATCCAACATTCAGACAGCAAAGACATTAACTTTCTTTTGGCACTTGCTATGACCCTGAAGTCTGCTACAGACAACTTGATTTCTGACACATCCTATCTGATCGCCATGTTGGGCTGTAATGACATCTACAGAATCACAGAGAAGCTGGACAACCTTGGTGTGAAGTATGACTCCACAGAGCCATCACAACTAGAGCTGCCCCTCCCTGGAACCCCGATACCAGCTGAGATACATCACACACTCCTCATGGATCCAATGAATGTATTTTATCCAGGAGAATATGTGGGTTACCTTGTTGACTCTGAGGGCGGAGACATATATGGATCTTATCAGCCCACCTATACTTATGCCATTATTGTTCAAGAAGTAGAACGAGAGGAAGAGGAAAACACAAGTTTCCTTGGTAAATGCTTTCAGATCGACATTGGTTACAGTGAGTACAAAATAGTCAGTTCACTCGATTTGTACAAGTTTTCAAGACAAGATGAAAGCACCCATGTACGAGACACCAGTGCCCCATCCACTCCTACAAGCCCAGACAGTCGTTCCACTGGTCTCCGCATGATCCCTCCTCTTTTTGCTGGCAAAGAAAATCTCCGTCCTCCTCCTCAAAAACAATCTCCCAAAAAGATTAAACTTCATGCGTTGCCGGAGATTTTGAAAGAAGTGACCTTAGTCGTTGAACAAGCTTGGAAGCTTCCTGAGCCAGAGAGAAAAAAGATAATCCGGCGATTGTATCTTAAGTGGCATCCAGACAAAAATGCAGAAAATCTGGACATTGCCACCGAAGTCTTCAAGCATTTACAGAACGAGATCAACAGGATGGAGAAACAGTCTTTGGCTGATCAGCAAAATACTGACAGGGCTTCCAGGAGATCTTTCTCCTCATCATCAACCCGCTTCCACTCAGAGAAGTTCTCATTTCAAAGGTTTTATTCATCGTGGAACCAGGAAGCAACAAGTCACAAGTCTGAAAGGCAACAGTTCAGGGAACATTATACAAGCTATGCAGGTTCTTCACATTCTCACCGTTTCTTTGTGCCCCCAACTTTCAAGACAGTTGGAAACCCTGTGGAAGCCCGAAGGTGGCTGAGGCAAGCCAGAGCAAACTACTCTGCTGCTCGCAATGATCTTCATAAAAATGCTAATGAGTGGGTTTGTTTTAAATGCTACCTGGCCACAAAGCTTGCACTGATAGCTGCTGACTATGCAGTCAGAGGAAAGTCTGACAAAGATGTAAAACCAACTGCTCTGGCTCAAAAAGTGGAGGAGTACAACTCCCACTTAACAGGCCTTTCCAGCGACGTTCAGATCCTGGAGGGGTATGGTGTGGACAGCCTGCGAACTCGCTACCCCGATCTCCTGCCATTTCCACAGATTCCCAATGACAGATACACATCTGAGGTAGCAATGAGAGTGATGGAATGTACCGCACGGATTATCATAAAGCTTGAAACCTTTGTGCAGCAAAAAATATGATTCTGTTAGATATGAAAATGAGTATGCATAGATCCTCTGTGGACTCGAGGACACCTGCGGCTGTGTGCAATACAGATCATGTATGTATATCACTTTGAATAATACTGAAGTATCCAGCTGGCAGCTTATGGTACATATGCAGTTTCTACCTGTGATGGCCCATGCACAGTGAATACATGTATGGCTCCCATAACCTGTTAGGCTGTCTTAAAATAGATTTGCTGTATTATGTGAAAAAAAAAACATTTCTGCATATGCTGTACATACTGATGCCTCAGCAATACATTTTGTTTACCAAAGTCCTCACACTGACTATATTTGCTCTGAGTTAGATTATAAGATATGCTGCTTTTTTACTTTATCTTTTATAAAAAAAAAAAAAAAGAATATATTTTCTTGCTACAAAAAACCAGTTGAGTGTACTTAAAGGATGCGCTTATAATGAAGTAGGTAAAATGTCAAATACTGCAATTACTGTCATACTACTGTCATGCAACGTGTCCTATTTGCAAAAGCTCAGCAAGTCAAGGAAATACAATCATGTTTGTACATTTTCTTTTTGTATTTTTATGGTTGTTTTCATATAATTTCTGTAAAGTTGTACATTTTCTGTAACATAGCCAGTCACCTGTTTATGGACAGAGCACTTTTTTGAAATTCCTCATGTACTCAGCACTTGCACTTGTATAGCGCTTGTGTCACCCCAGCAGAATCCAGAATCCAACTGTGAATAGAAACACTTTATGTTACTTTATTTTTTATTGGGGATATGTTTCGCATCATTACCTATTCATATGAACCACATGTAGCTGTACTCAAACCTTGGGAGAAGGTGCTGCTTTGATAACTGAAGTTTTTGAAAGGGCAGTGATAACTTAAGTCATCCAAAAGTTTATTTTTCCCTGCTTGGGAATACCCAATAGGACATTGTGATAAACTGAAGAGCCATATATATATATAAATATGCTATCATCTGGGCACAACCCTCAACATGTTAACTTTTGTCACCATGAAACCATATTTACATTACATTTTTTTAGAATTTGAATTTGTCTGGTTTAAGGAACATAGAATAGCACCAGACTATGGTGCTTGTGTGTTTTTACTGCTTTACCAGCTTCATTTTACCTTTTGAGTTGAAGGACTGTACACACACGAACCACATATTGTAAAAGTCATTTTGAAACATAATTTAAAATGTGCTTCCTGGTATCTATTGTCTTTTTACACCTCAAGCTTGAGGTGACTCAGTTGAGGGTGTGTCCTTAAATATAACCTTGAAGAACCTTGTGTGTCATACATGTTGATGTACACTGTGCCATAGCAAGGCCTAATAAACCCCCCTTAAGTAAACTATGTCTGTTTTTGTTTCTAGATTAATACAAGAAGGCACATGTTTAAAAAAAAAATCAATGCTCCTATTCTACGTATTATTTTACAGTTTGGCTTTTTAATAGGCCTCTATTTTAAGTATTTCATTTCATGCACAGTAAGCGACTAATTCCCTTAAATCGATAAATATTAACTCTGACATAATTTATTCTGTTAATGGAGATTACCACAACAGGCACAGGTGGCTTTAATGCATTTTTAGAGATACATTTGAGTTGTAGAAAATGGTTATTTATAGATATATGAGGAGTTCATTTGCAAAAACAGATAACTTCATTTTTGCAGATTTTCAGAAAACTTTTTTTGTTGTTTGCTTGAGATAATATCGATCAAACTGAAGTTGAGTGGCAAAAATAGAGATAACTTAAGTTTGACTTATATTGTCTCAGGTAGACAGTGGAAAAGGGGGTTTTCTGAAGGTTTGTGTAGATGGAGTTATCTGTTTTTGCAAATGAACTCTTCATATATAGATTATTTCTTTCCAGTCTGAACTGCCCTACTCAAAAATGATAACTGCTGAATTCTGAGGCAGATCTGAGACTGATACAAACCAGGCAAACTCAATATCATCGCAAGTGGATGTGCACAAAGATCACAAATCTTCACTGCAGCACACACTGTGACCTCCTAAATAAATGCAGAATAGATTTGTTTGCTGATGTAAATCTAATTCTGCTGTGTGCATCCTGGCATCACTGCAGAGCTTTTCCACTAGAGGGCATCAGGAACTCAGTAATCATGGTCAGGATTGTCAAACTGCATCTACCAGAACATTAGACAGGGGAGCTGAAAAAATACTGTGTAATAAATGAAGAGACCGTGTTTATTCTTCTTCCTAAAATGTGATTACAAAACGTGGGAGGGCTTCTCGGGGGGGAGGAGTCGATGAGGCATAATAATGCAGACACATAGAAGAATAGCACAAATTTTATTCAACATACAAAATGAATAAATACACCTATCACACTATCAAAATATGCTAAAACAAAAGTCAGAACTGCAAATCAACAACTTCAACACTAACAATGATAACACAAAGTCGTAACGTGTTAATTATGGTAAAAATGCTCTCAAAACAGTGATGAACAGGTAGTAAACTCAGTGTAACTTTACAGAATGGTATTTTTTCTGACAAACTTTGAACTGTTAAGTGCTGTCATGCGTATTGTGTTACAAGAAAATGAAATCAAGGCATATTTGCCCCAAAAAAGGCAAAAGCGAAATTGCAATAATAATCCCAATTAATTTTTCCACTCAGCTACCCACAACTCTCTTTATTACACCAGTTCTGGTTTTGCTGTCATGTTTCTGCAGTGAAAGGCAATTTTCTGTTGGGCCTTTGATCGTAAATGAGGTTGTTGGGGGAAAAAAAGAAAAAAAAAAAAAAGTGCAGCTTACTACCAAGAAAAACTGCCTGCCTTGTTTTTTTGTAATTACATGCTTAAGACGGACTTCAAAATAACACAGGCCAAACATACATATAACATTATAACTGGAAAAAAACACATAATTACACGAGATGCCACGCTAGTAACACTTTGCGGTGCCACAAGGACTTGGTATTTTAATGTCAACCCTGGAAAACATTTGAAGAAAAACATGACTCATGTTAGTTGTCTGATGTTATATCTAAATTTGAGTGGATAAAAAAATAGAAAAAGAGATCCAATTCATCTGTGAATTGATGATGACAATGACATAATATACTAACATTTCTCAGTTTTAATAAAAACATGCTCAACACTAAAACAAAAACACAGCATACCAAGGGCTTGGAGCCAGAGGGGCTTTTGCATAAACCAAAATAAATACTTTCAATAACATTCTGTTGCCATTTTAGAGATTTATTTTTTAATTTTCCAAGCCCTTGATATGTGTCAATTTTATTTATTGCACCATAAGATAATATTGCATAGGATGTAAGCTGTTACCAGCTCCTCATTGCCCAGCCATGATACTGTGTGTGAAAAAATCTTCATAAACCTCTGATGCTGACTAATTTAGTACTGAGAGCCAGTTTGTTTCAGTTGAGTAGTTAGAAGTTCATAAATGCAACTAAAAGGATACATTTCATGACATCTCCAACATGTATGCCAGCAGGCATTTGTATTTTAACAGGCCTCGATGTGCCAGTGGGATCATCATAGAACCACTGTGGTATAAAGATTCCAAAAAAGAAGAAAAAACTCAGGCGGCATATAAACAATTGTGCTTGTTGCCTCCCAAAAGATGCATCCTCTGAGAGATGGAAAATCAATGACCTTGTCAGAGTCAATCTAGCACTCCTGATTATCGCTGCAAGTGGAAGTTCTTCCAGCCTTGGATAGGAAGAGCTTCCCGCTGGGACAAACACAGACCTCATAGAGACCCTGAGCATTTCCAGAAACCCCTTCTTTGCTCTGGGGCAGGCTCGGCATGCGCACCGTCTCAGCATCCAGCACCAGCTGTACAGCACACAGCATGGAGAGCAAGAACAATTAAAGGAGAACAACACAGTTCTGCAGAGAATATCATTCTGCCTTACTCTCGTCACTCAAGCAGAGTGCACAGATGCATCATGACACACAGTATGGAGGGAGTTATAGAGAGATGTTTAGGTAATGCCTAACAAGTGCAAGAGTCCATGAAGACATTATAACAAACAAAATGTGGTACAAACATCCACAGTCCAGTGGCAGAAACGTAAAAGAAAACCAGAGGACATGTGTACTCAGAAAGTTTGTTTACTGTCATGGAAGACTAGTTCAGTGCAGATTAATATCCAGGAGTGTTAAAGCCTGCAACTACTGCAAATGTGCTGCTCTACTGAGAATGGATTCAAAAAGGTCAAATAAGTGCCTGAGATACAAATGCTTTATGTAGTTCAACCAGTTAGCTGCACCACAACAATTACCCAGACCTGATTCAGTCAGAGTCAATTACCAAAACTCACTCTAAACAGTAACATGGAAACGGCAACCCACCACACCACAACAGACCCACAGAGCCCAACAAATGTTTACGAAGTTCAAAAGGCAATGAGCTCATTGTAGCTTGCAGATAATGAAGATGTAGTGCTGTTCTTTTTGTGGCTTTAGAACTGTGACCTTGTGAATACATTATAGTATAGTATAGTATAATGTAGTATAGTATAGTATAGTATAGTATAGTATAGTATAGTATAGTATAGTATAGTATAGCATAGCATAGCGTAGTATAGTATAGTATAGTATAATGTAGTGTAGTGTAGTATAGTATAGTATAGCATAGCATAGTATAGCATAGTATAGCATAGCATAGCATAGTATAGTGTAGTGTAGTCTAGTGTAGTGTAGTGTAGTATAGTATAGTATAGTATAGAGTAGAACTGTAGAACTTCAGTAGAAGTGGTGTAATGTGTTCTCTGAAAGGGCAATCTATAAGGTATTTTGGATAAAAAATGTCCATCAAATGGAAAAAGCTGAGTTTCTGTCAAACTGCAATCGTGCTCAGAGGTGTGAGCACAAGAGACTATGGAAGCAAGATAGAGCATGTTTGCCTGTAAAAGCATGCTGTATAAATATTCCCCTGGTTATGTAAAGAAAAAACAGACCTTAGGACGGTGTAGAGCAGACAGCAGCAAGTGAAAAGAGCTTTTCTTACCAGTCCTACAGTAGACTGTAGAATAACATCCATGTTGGAAGAAGCTTCAATGTTGCCAGCCAGGGCTTTGATATGAACTCCTTTTGGTGCGTCCATACTGAGAGAGCGAGTAGGGGACTCCAACCTAAAGAAGCACATCTTAGCTTTGTAAATACATCCATATTATGCTCATTTATTTCTATCAAAAGCTGTTTCAGATTTTTAAAATGTGATGAATCCAGAAATCACTTTATACAGTGAGGCTTAAATGTGCTGTAAAACCTTAAACGCACAATATGCAAGATTTTAAATGTCAATATTACATTATTATAGTCGCAATCTACATGAAAAGATAAAGCAGAGGGTGAAATTACATTCCATTTGTGTGTGTTGTAATCTGAGATTCTCTGTTCTATATTCTGGCAGCCAGTCTGGTCACATGTGCTTGTTAGTGCAAATTAGTGCATGTTAGTCCCTTCCTTTAAAACTGTTGGCCCCCTTCAAGCCTATAAACAGACTGAGAGTGACCTCACACACTGCACTGGAAACGCAGACGTGCAGTCCAGTGTCAAGATGGTGCCCAAAGAATTAGACGTTTTTGGGGGGAAGGAATACATCGTTGGATTCCACAATCCAGAGAATCATCGTTCCATCTGAAATGATTTCTTAGACAAAGAAAGCTGTAGTTATTCAAGTGTCCGGCTACAGCCCTAACTGACATTTCAGCATCCAGCATACAAAACAGTCTGTTCTCATCTTTCTCTTGTCATCTGTGGCGTCATGTCTTTTGAATAAAACTGGCATTTGAAGTTGGCCTTTTATAGGCACTGTTCAAAGGAGTGTCTGTGTACCGGTCAGGCTATTTGATCATTGTCCTTTAAAGCCGCACCTGACCACAGTGTGGATTAACTTGGTGGTTGAGAATTTGTGATCAGTTGAACAGCCCATGCATTTGGTGCACAATTGGCTAAATGTAATGCTTTTCTGAAAAGAACAATATAAACGAGTTTTCAGAGAAGAGGACCATTTGCATGCTGCAGTTATATTTTCGTTCCATGCATTTTATCAGTGTTATGTATCTAATTTATGTGCACTTGTTTTGTTTCAGTTCAGTGTGAGAGTCTCTGCTCCTGTTCTGAGGCACCTCCGTCTCTGCTCGTCTGTTCTGCTCCAGCCTTTGTGTGTCTGTTTCCACACATGGATCTACTCCTGTCCGATTGACCATGGAAACAGATTGAGTCAGAGCAGAGCAAACCAAAGCAGAGAGAAGGAGAGATGAGTAAACTGAAGATAATGTTAATCGTGTTGAGAAAGACTTGTTACAGCCATTTAATGTACTTTACAACTCTAGTGCGGGCTAATGGCTGTGGCTGGATTATTTTGTGTTGGCTCTGTACACAAACTTTCTGACTGTAGCTGTAAAATAGAAAGAAGGGGAAGGTGTGACCTATTTGTTTTGTTATGAGATGCTGGTGCTGTAGGGACATCCAGTGATTCTGAATGTTGCACACAAAACCTTTAAGCTTTTGTACTTTTTCAGTGGATATATGGTAAATGTGTTTACTGCAAGGACTCAGCCCAGTCAACAGAGTGTTGCGAATGTCTTCCTGATGTATTTCCACATGACTTGTAAGACCTCAATCTTGTTACTGGCTGAAATGCTCACCTCAGGTCTTTCAACAGCTCAGATCTCAGCTGGGGCACCTCTACTGAATGCTGGAACAGAGCTCCTTCAGGACCTGAGCAAGAAACAGACACACATTCAGCTACATGAGATTCAATCAAGGTCTGTTACAAAATCTAGTACAGTCCGAGGCCCTGATGCGTGCTACTGCAGATTGATTTTTTAATAAAACAGTCTAAGTAGCTTTACCGAGCTGCTCATTGGTGAAATATGTGATTTCCAAATCATCACTTGTCTGCTATCGAGCATTCAAAGTAGACTGAACACGAGGATGGCAATGTTCTCTGTTGGCTGATTCACTACTTTAGTCCTGACTGAAATACCTCAAAAACAAAAACATGAGAATGAGGAGAGAGGAAATGGGATCCAAAAACCCCAGTGTACTGAACAGAATGCGGAGCCAACTGTGATGGATGTGAGCACTTGACAAACACTGTGAATACTGAAGCTTTGTTTCGAGGACTTTAGGTTTTTGCTGCCTGCAGCTCAAACTGACCCCAGGTGTTATGGAACTATCAGCTGACACTGTGTTCAGCATTAATCTGTCATCACAGTGTGTGGTCAGTGACACACATTATCATCAACACACACACTGGACACTGAAGACTCAGAATGCAGGACAGGAATATGTAAATGCTTTATCCTTCAACCCTCTGTTGAGTAATTGACATCCTGTGCAGCACTGTGATATGAGATTATATTTGTTGGCTCGAAACTACAAATGACCTGATTTGAATCTGCTATTAATGTGATGGATCTTAGTGCACGCTCAGTTTAAGATAACCAAAGTCCTGATATATGTATATATATGTACTGTTTGTGCATTTAAAAGATATCCGTGCACTCGACTATACAACACGAATGATTACGACTGCATCTGTCTCTGTCCTTGGCTCCTGGATTGTTGCACAGTTTTCTGCCATCAAAACAAATTGCTCCTGTTGATTTCACATCTGTTGTCAGCATTGTCTCTTTCCAAAAATGTTTCCACCAACAGGTGTGTGCTATATCCAAGGAAACAGCACGTAGCAGGCGTTGCTATACCTGTGACTCGTAGTTTGTCTGGTCCAATCACAGCCTGGTCACCATCTGCACTGAACAGCATGTTGCCATTGTGGGAGTTAATGAGCAGATTCTGAGTGTGTCCCTGAGCTTCTTTTGGACCTGCAACAACAAAAATTACCTGAAGGGGTTTGGCAATAATACAATGTAACTGCCAAAATCTGCAACCTTTCTGTTCCTGTGACATGAGAATATAAAAACCACATTCACGATTTGGAGTGGTATAAAGGGAGAAAAAGTGAGCAAACAACCTCCCGTCGATGGATTAAAAATGTGTAAATCCAGGAGGTAAATGAGTAACCCCATTACTGCTCAACCTGAAAGGTAAATCAGTGGAGGTTGTTTCACTTTGCCCTTCACCACACCGGTGTTCACAGCACTGCGAGAGGCTAAAGCAGGTAGATCACTCAGTGAGATATTTAACCCACGTCCGCGCCTACAACTGTGAACCGACATGCAGTCCTCTCTAACAAGCATTTCACTTTTATTCACAGAAGGCCAAGAGCACGCAGGCTATGCTTTTTACGGCTTAATGATCAAGGACACATAACGGCTCTGTGGAACACAACAATTAGCTGGGTCATTTGCTGGCCTTTTAATTATGACAAAATACCCCAACGTGGCCGCTGGCGAGCCATAAAAGAAGCACAAAAATGATCCTCCACAGGCCTCAGGACCTCTGTGTAATATGGAACGATCCAGAAGCAATGGTTGAGAAAGGGATGCTGCATTTAATGGATTTTAAATGGAAATGTAAAAGAGATTATAAATTGAAAGATGGCTTCTTGTCATTGTTAATGTTGGATGAGGAATCCCTGCAGGACAAGTGCATGAATGTCTTTACTGTTGCCCTCATACATCAGTGGGATATAATGCGTGAGTGCTGCATGTCTTACCCACAGATATCCTCCCTGTAACATCACCATTTTCATCACGGGCATTGAGGGAAACGTTTTCTGATGAGTGTGCTAGAAGTGGAGAGTCCTGGGAAAAGAAAAAAACAAGATATTACCAGCCTGTGTAAATGCTGCTAATATACTGTACGTCTGCAGAAGAAAAACAAAAATTGAATTGGTAGTTCCCCCACTTTGGTGTAAAGTAAAATATCTCAACAACTCACTAATGAATTGTCAGGTATTCAATGCTGTCAGAGGACAACGCGTACTGACTGTCACTCTAGCGCCACCATGAGGTTGACATTTGTGTTTTTGTGCAGTCAGGCTGGTTTATTTGCCAAAGTCCTACAAAATGAATGACGATCATGTGAGCCCGTTCACAGCTCACATTAGCATTAGCTCAAAGCACCACAGAGCCACGAGCACAGCTCAAAACATTTGGTGCCACTTTCTGATGCTGTTTATGAAACTTCTGAGTTCACTAATTGTGACTTTAATTATGCTCAGTACATTTAGATAGTAATAAATTATAACAACATTTGTCTTGACATTGACATCATTTAGGCCTGTGTTTACAATTAGTTTGTGTTTTGGTTCGACAAGAAGTTTCATCTGGGTAATTTATGGACTGATGTGTGAATATTTACAGCTGCAGACTTGGATTACTGAACTGACTTTCTACTCATGATTTATTAATAATGATTATTATCTTGTGTTTTGATGGAGGAGGACAAACACCAGTCAAACAAACGATTTAAGAAACAAATCTAATGTTTCATTTTCAGACATTTAACAAGGTTATAGTCATGTTAGTTCTGTATCTTTGAGTTATTATGCAGTATTTAACTCTATTTCATAAATTGATCTTTGTCTTTAGTGTATGTCTTAGTATGCAGGCTAATTTATGTTATTGCATTCTTGATATTAATTGTGGATGCCTTTCAACATCAGGCAAAGGGACACACAATGAGGATTAGCCTTGTGGAACTCAGGTAAATTTACATTTATTTGAATGATTAATGTACCCTGTCCTTTTTTAAAGTAAATACATTGAAAATAAGTAAATGACTACTAACAAAACAATGTTTGCCTTCATAAATGTGCTACTTATTATTATACATAAATATTTGCACAAGATTAGACAGCGTAGCAAAACCTTCCAGAAAACCTACCCTTTCATAAAATGCTTAAATGAGGCAGCCAAGCAATAAATCACTTCAGTTCCTCTGCAGCTGTACAGAAGATATGTTTATAAAAATGATCTAAGAAAATAACTTTTCATATAGAACTCGACGGGGTGACTCACTAAACACTGAAACTCATTAGAAATCCATAGAGCACATTAGAGAATGTGTCCTTCTATAAATGAGAAATACATTGCCTTTTTAATGAGGCCCATGAAGTAAGAAAAAAAAATGCAAAGAAAAATTGCTGCTATGAGCAAGAAAAGCCATAACATGTAAACAACTGCAGCAAAGTGTTCCCATCTGCTGCTAGCAGGCGGGCCATAAACTACTTTCTACCACAAATATCCCTGAGGTTAATGGGAAGCTCGCTGCACCACCACGTGCGCTGTGTGGGACTGCCAAATCCAGTTTGTTCTGACACATCTTGCAAAAAAAAGTACAGTCAGAAATATGCAGCTAGCTCTTTGCAGCTGCATAAAAACTGCTCGAGTGTCTGAAAGGAATTAGATTTAGATGATTACAGGACGTGCACTTGAGTTTAAGTCTGGTAAACAATGAGATGAAATAATGGCCATTCTGTCAGGCTACTTAACTGACAAAACTGCAGTTTGAACACTAGCTGGGAAGTAGCAAAAACTATGAGAAAAACAGAAGGTAGACGGGAAGTAGAAGAAAAACAGAGTGAAACAGGATGTGAGGAGACAACCAAGAAACAGTATGTGTTCCTGATTATCTTACTTCTCTGGAGTGGATCTCCTGAGCGTAAACAGGGAACAGAAACTCAGATTCGCCTTCCTCCAGCTTGACCCCATCTGAGTGGACTTGTAGGTGTCCCATCCCTTCCTACAGCCAGAATGAAGATTATGTATTCAGACAAAGATACAGCAAACTGTAATATAATTAAACAGCATTGTCTACAAGACAGGAATTACAAATGTGAAAAGTTAGGAGGGGTGGATCTGTCTTCCAAGAGTGAAATGCATACAGCAACATTCCCTGCAGCACTTGCATACCATCCTATAATAAAACAGTAAGTTGCTTTAGTAGCGGTGGCTCTTCACAGAGAGGTGTGTGTGTGTGTGTGTATCCAAGATCGTGTTGGTTTGTCGCATCTCTTTTTCTGCATAAATCCACAGTTGCCATCTGGACTTGAGACAGAAAGCTGACAAGATTTCATGAAATAACAAACACATTAACTATCCTGTTTAGACAGCCAAGTACCAGATAATGATGGATAATACCACCTCTACAGCTACTACTCACAATCATAAACAGGTAACACTTGGTCATTGCAAACGTTATGGGCTGATACTGATTAATTGATGAATAGTTTATGCCAAAGATTAAAAAAAAAAAAATAATAATAATAATAATACTAAGAACACAAAGGGTAAGACAGGAAAGCAACCCCTGCTGAAAACATAATTTGTCAATGTGAGTCATGCGTACCGTGTTGAACCACATCACCCTGAGGATCCAGATGGTGAGGGCGAAGTTGACCACCAGGATGATGATGAGCAGCAGGACAAACAGGTAGAGACATCGCTTCCTCCAGCCATAGATGCCGATCTTGTAGACGTGGTCAGGCACCGACCGGGGTGAGCTGCTGCCCTGGGTGGTGGTGACATACTGCTCCCGCACCATCTGGTGGCTGTGAACAGCACACAATGACAGGTATACGGGCAAAAGAACCAGATGTTAAAGAAAAAATACCACCTGTCTTCCATACTTTTCAGGCATGCCACACAGTTGGCATTGTTGTAAATATCAGAGGGAACAAAACATAGAAAGTAACTTTAGTTATATAGCAATGTGATGCAGGTCAACTGGCTACACAGGGAGAATTCTTTTGACAACACTATACCTAAACCTGCTGCGCAGCAGAAACAAGCTGTGCACATAATACTGACATATAATTGCCTGGCACCTTTTAAAATGATTTTAGATAACAGTTGCCTATTAACACATCCAGTTGATGCAGAGCAACTCTTGCATCACATTGTGTCACTTAAATTCAGTTTTATTTATATAGTGGCTGTTCACAACATAAGCCATTTCAGGGCAATTCACACAGTAATGTCAATCCTGACGATATCACATTAGCAAGAGAAACCCAACAAATCCAACAATTCCCTCTAAGCAACAGTGGGAAGGAAAACCTTTCTCTGAGGAGGAAGAAACCTCCAGCAGACCAGGCCATCTGCCTGGAATGGTTGGGGTGAGGGCAAAGGGGTGTCATTTTAGCTCTGTGTTTGGACTCCACCAACTCTTAAGGGACATAGATTGGACTCTTTAGCTGTTAAATGATCCACTGTGTTCCTCAGCTAGTTGCTAAGTGCCATTTGGTGCAGGACAAGTAGAATACAGTGAGTTTTAAGACCTTGTTGGGGGGAAAAAAGCGATGATAGCAGTGAGGGCAAAGTTGCATGCTGAAAAACAAAATCCTGAAAGCTGTTATAAATGTTCATAGGGCTTAAGGAAACTGCAAATGTGCTAAAATTGTCCTTCCTTACTTTTTGTTTTGCTTATCGATGTAAAAGCATTGATTTTAGCAGCAAAGTAAGATTGCTTTAAACTGAGTCTTCCTATAGGTGCCCACTTAACAGAACAACAGAACAAAAAAGAAGTTGTTGTACATGAAGAGCCTTGTGACTCCTTCAACACTTTGTTTATTCATAAGCACAACTATGCAAACACTAGGCTTGCTTCACAGTTATCTGAAACACAAAGAACTACACAAGTGTTTTTGCCACTGATTACAGCTGTTTTATATCTTGCACACACAAGTGTTTTCCTTTCATTTTTGTAATTTACAGGGTTAATCAATCAATCAAATTTTATTTATATAGCACTTTTCATGTACAACAACAACAGCAACACAAAGTGCTTTACAGCATTTGAAAACATTCTAACATTTAAAAAATAAAATAAACTCGTCCCTCCCACCCTCCATGCATACACATACACATACAGCAAATGCAGTAGCGCGCACACACTCACACACTCACCACTAGACTAAAAGAGGCGTGGCATGACACTGAGGGATTGTGGGAAACGCTACCATTGGGGCCGTCCACACCGGGAGGAGTTGCAGACCATGACCACTGGGGGCGCCGGCACCCAGACCCCCGACCCGGCAGACAGACAACGGGGTGGGGAGCCCCCCAATCAGCCGAGTCAAAGGGACCCGCAGACAGAACCCCCAGCAGCAGACCACACACAGCCCCCAGTGTGCAGGACCCCCCTAAGGAAACACTGGAAATAAAGCTAAAAACTTTAAGAATAAAAGGCCCTCTGTAAGATAAAATGAAAGTTCCATCCATCCATTATCTATACACCGCTTAATCCTCACTAGGGTCGCGGGGGGGCTGGAGTCTATCCCAGCCGACTTAGGGCGAAGGCAGGGGACACCCTGGACAGGTCACCAGTCCATCGCAGGGCCACACTTAGAGACAGACAACCAAACACACTCACATTCACACCTACGGATAATTTAGAATCACCATGTCTTTGGACTGTGTGGGAGGAAGCTGGAGAACCCGGAGAGAACATGCAAACTCCACGCAGAAAGATCCCGGTGCCCCCACCGGGATGCGAACCGGCAACCTTCTTGCTGTGAGGCAACAGTACTACCAACTGCGCCACCTTGCAGCCCAAAATGAAAGTTAAAAGAGTAAAATACATAAGATAAAGATAAATGAATGATAAGAACCTAAAAAGAATTAAAGGTCAATTAAAAGCCTGATTAAAAAGGTGTGTCTTTAACCTTCTTTTAAAAATATCGACAGTCTCTGCAGTCCTGAGGCTCTCTGGCAGGCTGTTCCACAGGTGGGGGCCGTGGTGGCTAAATGCCGCCTCACCGTGGTATTGTAATAGAAGCCTTTTTATCATATGTGCTTCAAATGCATAAAGATAGGACAGCTAAAAGTCAGCAACAATTCTTTGCTTTACCCAGGATTCAAACCCTGCTCTCCCAAGGGAAAGTTTGTCATCGACCCATTGCATGCATTGACTTTTGTGCTATGTACTATATCTATACTGCTTCATCTTATCGGTGAAATGTCCCGGAACTGGCTTAAATCACCAATCACAGGCTAGATTTTATAAAGCCTGAAAATGGAACCAGGAGAAGGTGCAGAGGTCTAATTTCCTCCCAGACCATTTGACTTACAACATGCTAAAACATTAGTTTTACATTTTTGCCCATTGATGCCAAAAACACTGCCTACACCAGCTTTAAAACCACTGCTAGATAACACCAATTATCCTGTTACAATGCAATGTTCTGCTAGGTTCCGGCATACATGAGCACACACCCTATGGCGCTCATTGATGCCAGCAGCTTCCCTCATTGTGACAATGTGCCCGGCCACATTGCAACAACTGGTCAGAAATGGTTTGAGGAACACAACTGAGAGCTCAAGGCATTCCAACAAGATCAAGCATCCAAAAGCTACACAAGAACAAGCCTGATCCGTAGAGGCTCCGCTCCACAGCCCACAACCCCAAGGGATCTGCTGCCAACGTCTGCTTGCCAGACATCACAGGACATCAGCATAAACCCCATGTTTATGTCCTGATGGGTCAGAGCTGTTTTGGCGACATAAAGGGGATCTACACAATATTAGGCAGTGCTTTAAATGTCATTGCTGTGTATATTATTACCATGAACACTGGCAATAGAAGGTATTGAGAGTGAATCCAGAAGTCACCCAATCGATTAAATCTATATAATATTGTGATGTAACACATGGTAAGTAACAAATATTTGCTGTAGGTGTGGTTCAAGGTTTCTGAGTCATTGGGGTGGTTTCCATCTCTGACAAACTACTTTTACAGACCCTGAAAAATCCAAGTTCACAATATACATTATATTTTTCCAGTCCTTAAAGTTAACTGCACATAAATAATCTGCCTATTTGCACCTCTATATAATGCCTTGTTCACACTGTGTACAGCATGTGATTCATGAGCCCAGAGCTCATGCACAGACCCAGTGGATATCTGGCTCATTGTGCCAGTGGAAAACTTGACTGGCTTTCCAGCCGTTCTTTAAAAAAGGCAAAGGAAAATGGCACTTATTACAGAGCAGAGGCAGCACTTTCTGGCTACACAGCAGCAGGATATCAGCGACAAAAACCAAGTCGATGAATGTCAGCATATTTGAAACCACAGCGAGTATTGTAAGTTATGACACAACAGCCGTTTTCTGTATTCAGTTCACGGGAGGGCAGATCGGGCTCCAACTGCGGAGCTGCAGAACCAGCAAGCGAGTCCCCTCAAGTCAGCACATTTGGACCATCTGACACAGTGACAACAGAGAACCTCAGGGACACATTTCACAGCGACACGGGAAGTGTGTGTTCAGTGGAGCCAAGGACCGCACAGCCTCAGAAGGCTGCAAAGAGAGGAGAGGTGTCACTTTCTATTGATTAATCTGCATTAATAACCAGAAACAGGCAGCAGAGAAAGCTGCTTTCACTGAGGATGAAGCCTGAAGGAAAGGCTGTCAGTTGTAGATTATTATGAGTCAATAAAGTACCCAAAACAGGTAGAAACACAGAGACAGACTGCAGATTTATCTAAGCATAAATCTGATCCAAATCTTTATCAATTCTTCAGAGTCAGAACATCTCAGTTTCATAGGAAAGGTTGTCTGAACAAAGATGAATCTGGGCGATTTCAGAAGTGTTTTCAGAACAAGAAAGCACTGCTGAAACAAGACAACACTGGCTCCAGTAGACCAAGTTGATTTACATACAGGACAGATGTTGCATCTTACTGCCACACAGTAAAAGCATTTTCCATCATGTTAAAGGAGCCACTTTTCAAACCAAAAAGTGATGCTTCCTTGACATTAACAGATGTTCAGCCAAGCACATCGGCCCATTGTAAATCCCATGGGTCAGTGACGATACGAGCAGAAGAAGAGAGCAGACTTTGCATACGGTGGCAAACCACCTCAAACAAGTTGTGTTTCTGTGAATAATGAAAGTAAACATCACCAAGGGCCAATTGATAAAGGCAACCACGTGGGATCTGAGTTCTCCAAGGTCCAGGAGAAGATGTTTTAGGGAGACGACAATAAAAATGTACAGTTTGTTTCTTGCTTTTTGCAGTAAATACAGGGACAAGGTGTGAAAGCTGAGAGTATTTCTACGACCAAATCTGCCTCTCCACAGGACCTGTCACGTGGCCTGCAAGCCAATAGCTGTGATGAATAGCCTTTATTTCACAATGCAACATATGAATGTTGCCTGCAAAAAGAAGGAAAAGATGACTGTGATATTTCCACAGGGGAGAGGAGAGTCAAGCTTGATAAGGACATTTTTTTCTTACCTGTATCTCACCTCATTTATATATATTAATCATGTTTGTGACAATGAGTCATAATGATAAATTGAATCTCAGCACTGCAGCAGAGCAAGAGCAACTTTTAGTGAAGGTGTCAGCTCGAACACAGATTAACTCTGCCAGAGCTCTGAACATGGATTTATTCGGTGTTGAATGTTTGGTGTTTTATTTCACTGGAGTTCTCTACTGTGGTTAAAAAAAAATCAGTTACAGCAGGCTATTAAATTGACCGATTCCAGTATCCCCACATTTTATCTATTAACAAGCAAAGATCATTTGTGTGTTAACATGTTGATCAGCTCAGCGCTGCACTTTGGGCCAATGAGCAGGGAGGATGAAGGAGCTCTGACTTTCTTCATTATGATGTTAATGAATTTGATCTAACGCAGTCTAATTACTTTAAATGAAAGCATTAAGAGGCCTCTGTCCTTCAGCAGCAGTACGAGGAGGAGGCAGCTTTGAGGCCGGATCTTTAAAGGCGTCTTCCAGCTCCAGTTTCAGTCTTACCACCAGCTCTTTTAGCCACAGACTGATCCTTCCATAGCAACCCAAATAAATATTCCCCGAACAGCCTTGCTGCTTAAGTGCCAGGAATTCTCGAATTCATGGGACGTTATAATCTGAAATATAGTCTGCCTTATGAAGAATATGGCTTTTATCAGGTCAGTGCTTTTATTTTTTGATCTTTTTTGTGATAGAAAACTATATTTTTCAAATGAAATTCGAATCTAAATCTTCCTAAGCCACATAGGAAACAACTAAAAAAGTTTCAAAGGCAAAGCAGATCTCTAACACAATCCTCTGCTCCCTCCGATGAGATAAGGGGACTCGGTTCAGCTTTCTTCTTACTGGGGCACCCTCTCAATTAACCTTAAACAAGTGATGCTCCCTGCTTGGCCCTGTCTCTCACTCTCTGACCTCTGGATGACAGTGAGGGCCGAGCCGGACAGACTAAATGTTCGCTTAAAATCCACAGGGTCCTGCTGTAATTGAGAATCCAGGCTTCTTTCTGAGCAGAGGCTTGACCTGACCGAACGCCAGAAGTTTTAGCAAGTTAGAAAAGCTCAAAATTTGTTTAGGTGAAGGACATCTGCTGAGGAATATTCTGAGGACTGATCTGGGACTGAGCACAGGGTTGAAGTTTGTGTCTGTCTGTATAGTAAGTGGCCGGCGTCATGTCTCCACTCTGCCGTAATGCCTTAACTTCTAAAAATAGGACTCAGCAATGTGAACTAAATTTAAAAAAGCACCAGAGGAAACACAGAGAGACACAACCCCTACCTATGTATGACTAATGAACACTGATAAGACACCGTAGCACACAGAAAAACACAAGGGAGCAGCTCTTTCACAAAGTTATTTTTGTATTTCATTTTTGTTGGCCATGTATGGTAAAACTGCCGACAGCTGGCTGACTAAAAACATCTTTTTCAAATCCCAAACTACCTCTGTGCAGACTGGAAAGTAATCCCAGCACAACACAGGACACAAAGAAGGGCAAAAGACTGAAAACATGTACAGTAGTAAAAAGGTTGCCAATCTAAAACACTTGAACTTTATCTTAAGAAGAGGTTATGAGGAATACAGGATAAATATTTGTGGGAGAAAAAGCAGACTACTCACCGTTGAGTGTTGAGGCACAGCAGTCCTCTTTCCCTACGCAACAGTAAGCAGAGCTCGAGCTGGTACGAGCAGCTTGAGAAGCAGCAGTGCTTGAGCTCCTCACACGTCTGTCAGCCACTCAACAGCTGCGTGCCATAAATCCAGCTCTGGAAGTGCCCTGACTAATCACCACGAGACGGCGCTCCCACTCCCCTGCATACCCACTCTGTCCCTCTGACTCCCTCTGCCTTTTTAGCCGCCCTACAGACATTTGAATATCATCATCAGAGTGTGTGAGAGGGAGAGAGAAAGTAGGAGGAGGAGGAGAATTTAGCATCAGCGGAGATGTTCAATCTCTCTCACACACAGAAACATCCACAGTGAACAGAGGCAGCTGTTTGTCATGCAATCCACTGAGTCACTTTCCCTGCCCAGCCCAGGGCTCGATGCAGTCGGTGCAGTTTAATTTGAGACTTCAGTCATGGCTCTCTACATGAAGTTGAGCTGCTCTTTCAGATTGCTCTGCTGGGTGACAGGCAGCAGGAAGGTTGGACCTTGAAAAGGGCAGTTTGGAAGTCAGAGGGGCAAGGACACAGGCAGCAAACACAGCAGTGACTGGGTTTGATGGCCCTTGAATTATATCAATCAGCTCGTTCTCAAAACTTTATATGCTTATATATATAAATATAATATAACTCAGATAAAATATATAAATAACAAAATACATTTTATACAATCCAATTATGGGAAGCCTATTTAGTTATGGAACATTTACATCTATATTGTTTATGTGTACTCTTGCTTATTTAAATCACCTATCAAATTTAATACTAGGAAGAAAATTTTCAGAAAGACAAGTAAATTAAACAGGGACAGCCTGATACACCTGTATTGATTAACTGACTCTTTGGTAAACAGGGTGAAAATCCTGAAGCTAAATGATTACATCGCACATTGATGAATGCATGATGCCTGTGCCAGAAGAGAAATGATAAAAAATGAATGAAAGGAGCATTCTGCAGGATTATGGTGCAAAGACTTTAAATGTAGGCATACACGTTCAGTTCAATTTCACAGAAGTAATTTAGAGTCATTACAGAAAAGACACTGCTCATGCTAATAATACTAATGACATTAATGATGGTTCCATTATATTTAACTATCCTAGTAAGCCATGACAGTGTCACAGCCAACAAACACCAGGACCCTGAATCTAAGGTAGCTAAATGGAATACAGCCATCATTAGTTTTACTCCTTATACCACAGTTCTTTCAACTGTAGCATGTCAAATGTAAATTGTCCCTGATAAATGTATGACTCCTAACACCGTAGGCAGGTGCAACAAAGCTTTCAGGAGACACAAAGCACATCTACACAGCCCTGAAGCTGCAGCCAGACTAAATTTACCAGGCAAAGTGTGTCCACGTGGTGTGGTCACAAACAGGAGGTACAGGAAATAACATGGGTAGGGCTGTGAGGATATAACGCAGGGACGAGCGTGGCTGCAGCAGCACTCCACTAAGACGTTATTATATAGCTGCTTAACACTTTAATGTGCTATGTCACTGCCCTTACACTCTCCAGAGACAGTTAGCTCCCTTTCTTCTCTACTACTCATATAGTGTAGTTATGAAATAGAAATGTAAAGGTTATTTCCTGCATTAGAGGTCAGCCCCCCCTCCTCCTCCCTTAACAAATCCAACCTCCCTTTGTAGTTTTAAATTGATAAGTCAATTTGGTAAAAGAGACAATATTGGAGGTCCATTATCTATACACCGCCCACTAGGGTCGCGGGGGGGCTGGAGCCCATCCCAGCCGACTTAGGGTGAAGGCAGGGGACACCCTGGACAGGTCGCCAGTCTGTCACAGGGCTACACTTAGAGACAGACAACCAAGCACACTCACATTCACACCTACGGACAATTTAGAATCACCAATTAACCTCAACATGTTTTTGGACTGTGTGGGAGGAAGCCGGAGAACCAGTGCTGCACGGAGAACATGCAAACTCCACGCAGAAAGATTGCGGTGCCCCCACCAGGACGTGAACCGGCAACCTTCTTGCTGCGAGGCAACAGTGCTACTAACTGCGGCACCTTGCAGCCCACAATATTGGAGGTTCTTAACTTAACTTTAGTTGTAAAGTCTTAAGCTTAAGATGCAATTTAATCAGATACATTTGTATTTTACATAATTCTGTAGGGTTTTGACCAAAATATGTTAATTACTTGAGTAATTTCACATCATAAATAACAATGTCAAGTCTTCACCTTTTTATCTACAGTTGCTAGGTACATTTTATCGCCTTATATCTCTCTGAAAAGCATTTTAGCTCCACACTGCTGTTTTAAATGTACAGTATAAATAACTGACTAGACGTGCCCTAATTAACATCTACCGCTTTCTGTGGAGTTTTTGTAATTGGTGCTAATTCTCAAAAAGAAAAGCTGATGACAGAGGGACTCTGTGAGGCTAAACATGCATGTATGAGACTTAGTCTAAAAAGTCACAACTTTTAGTTCCTGGAAATGTACCTTTTGACATGTGTTCTAAAATCAACTTAAAGAGATCAACGGTGACCTGGTGTCGGGTTTGAAGTTTTAAACTGATAGCAACATGGCCATTACCAGGATGGATGACAGGACCGATTCCTTAGGTTAGTTATGTATAAAACCCCAGAAGTATGAGTCTGAGTACTTTAAGACCATCAGTACACTGTAGTTTCTTGGCTAAAACTTGGCTGCTTATTTTGCTCCTGTTTATGTCTTCTCGCATTTAAAAAAAACAAAACAAAACAAAACACTACAATGACATGTTAACAAGGTAAAAAAAAAACAAAACTGGATTTTAACCAGAGGGAGTGTTTAAAACTGTGATGTATTCATAAATAAACAAACACATGAATTCACAGAGCTGGCCCATTCATTTTTGGTGACACAGCAGGGAAATTATTGAAGCACTGATTGCGCTACCCAAAATTATTTTAAGTCACGATGCGTGTTAAAGTGTTTTCTGAGCCCCACAGGCATCTTCATTGTGCACACAGTGTATAAAAATGAAGACAGAACTATTTCATTACATGAATGAGCACAACAACGTACTTACACGTTATCCAGCACACTCCAATGATGAAAATGTGTCAACACACTGTTTCTGTTATCATGTGAAGAAACACGTACTTCTGTGTGGTGAATCAAAATCCATTATCAGGTTAATTCTTTGTCACAGACACTTTCATCCATAACAAGAAGTAAATGTGAGAAAATACAAATTCAATTAAATTCATTGGTGGAAAACTGCAACTAGAACTCCAATGTGTGACAGCTGATTTGTTACACAGACACCCGTGAAAAGACAAAGGCAGCATTGTGTTTGTGTTCTCACAAGCTGATGTTGCACAAGCTGATGGATGGTGCATCTGTTGGTGCTGCGAAACCTGCAGTTTGTTTCGCTGCTGCTGCTGGAGGTGGTGCCATGCGGTGACAAAGGGACATCTGACAGCATCCATCACATAGATTCCTGTGTATCTCATGCCCTGAGCAAACAGTTGACAGTGAAGATAGCTTCTTCATTTCATGCCATTCTTATCAATATCTCATAACCTTTCTCTGCCTGTGGCTTTCAATAGACAAACGGAGTGCATAAATGATGAATCTCCAGAAACAAGTTAGAAAGGATCCTTCTCACACTGGATACAAGATCAGTTGAGTCAGGATGTCCCTTTAAATTTACTGGATGACAACACTTGGTTCACAGTGTAGGTGCAGAACTGAAGACTTTCATTACCAAGGACACTGATAGTAAGAGAACACACAAGATGAGGTGTCAATGCATCCAGCAGCACAGGCACTTGAGTCAGTACAACCTTCATCCCTTGTGAGTACAACATTCCTGCACGAGTGGAGACTGCCTTCATGCACATACAAAATGTGAAACCAGTGAAAGCCTTTATTATTGTGCTCAAAACAAGATCAATGTGAAGCATGCAGTCATAATCACCTTTTAACTTTTGCACATCAACAATACAATGTGCCTTGAATTTTAAAGGAATCTACTTGCTTTCTTCTGTGTCAACACACACTGGGAGCACCTGATTTGTGTTACTGTTACTGTCAGATCCAAGTGACCCCTCCTCCCTCTGTGTTATGGTTTGTTCTACATCTTTGTTATTAGTATCAGAATTTAAAGAACGTTTTTGAACACAGAACAAAAAGATCTTTACTCATGGGAACAATTTTTCTTTGTAGTCAAATCATCGTAACTTCAAGGAGCATTAGGCAGCGAATCACCCAGGGACCAGCTGCAGTTCTGAGACACCTTCTGTTCTGAGGACCTTAGTCTGGTGCAAGGCATGAGGATTAAGTTACCTACTATCCATACTGCTTCTCAGGTGGGAGGAAACAAAAATATGGGGAATGAATAGATAAATTCAGTTGACTAAGGCCTAGGGCTGACGTATATGGGTACTATTTAAAAACTGGGCTTTCCTCCTGTTTTTACATCTACATGAAAATGGAAAAATGAATAAATAAAAAAACCTCAATTAACATCAAGAGCACACCACACCAAAAGGTGGAGATATAGCCCAACTGATTCTGTAACCTCTGTTCATTGTTGTAGGGAAGACTGACTGTGTATTTATGTAAAAACATGGAAAAAGTCCTGCAAGCAAAGTGAGTACCAGGACTATTTCAGCTTTATCTGCCATTGCACAAACACTGCTTATGTAAACGAACAAGATGACACTGACATCACAAACTAAAAACTGCTTCCTCTGGCTACACATCAACAGTGCAGTTTCTAAAAATATTCACCCTGGAAGGAGTTTCCCCAAAAGCCTATTATTCAGTGATCTAAAACAGTATTTTGAGTCCACCAGAGACAAAAATGCACAGAAAAAGCTAGTTTAAAGCAGGACAGAGCCTGAGACTAAACAGACTAGTGCAATCCTTTCCGTGCTCCATCTGATTCTGAGTCTTAAGTTTGCGGTTTCTTGACCGAAATGTTTTTGGGTGGTATTCAAATATTTTGCAACTCAGTTAGACTTATTTCCTATTATCTAACAAACACTACGGTAATCTACTAACAAATCTAACTTTGATATACCTGGATGAAGAGGGAAAACAAAACAAATAGAAAGCTGAGATTTTGTCTTTACATTTTTATTTATTTTTCATTACAAACAGCTCACCGCAGGAAACAAAACAGGGGAACCTGTGGGGAAAAAAAAATCTGCAGGTCAGTGAGTGTAGCTTAAAAAAATGGCAGGATGATGATTTTGATGGTTTCTGCTACTGTACCTGATTATGCTTTCTCCGCTGCTGCCTCCTCATCTCCACCCTTGGTGTTACGTGTGTAAATCAGCTGTGCTCTGTGTTTGGACACCAGTTTAATCATGCCTGGGAAACAAAACAGGACCATGTTCTGTCAGCATTTTCATCCACATATTCATAGAAAACACTTAATACATTTACTTTACTTAGCATGCATTGCAATGCACTTCAGTCATGATTTTGTGCATCACTTCAATGTCGCAACAGTGTCTAGAGTGAGTTTCCACACACGAACAGATGTATATATTACAAAGAGACAAATTGTGAACGCAAGCAGTATACTTGTTCTGGCTACACAGATGATGTAGCCATTACATTTAAAAAGTCTTTTGAGCTTTGAAATTAAATCTTAATTTTGGCACCACGAATTATACAGACAATGTCATTAGTGCTGTCGACCAGCAAACGATGCTGCACAGTCAGTGAAAACCTGCTTATGCTTTAGTGCACTCTAATTTGTGATGGTAATAAAAAAAAAGTATGTGTGAGTGCCCACAAGACAATGTCACTGAAACAATGAGTAATATGATTCCCCCTTAAATACATCTCAAGGTAAAAAAATAAATAAATCCAAAGCAGACAGCAAATGCTTTTTTGTTACAGGTGGCAGGTTGCAGACGGAAAGAAAAAAAATTAACCATTTTTTATATAAACCATTTACTTGACATGTGCTGGGATGCATGACGGTTCTACATTATTTAAGTGTTTTAAAATAGCATTCGCTGTTATATAACTTCTTTTCATCTAGCATTTTGTATTTGGAATATTTTTAAGAGGAGAGGCTAAATGATCTCAAACGAAATGACAAGTAGTCAGACTGCATATCACCCAAACACATCAGTGTCATTGTGGAACAAATGATGAACTGTTACAAAAGTACTCTGGCCTGGATGCATACAGCATAAGCATTTATAAACATTAGACACAGCCAATGAGCAGAGCTGATGACTATGGGGAGTATTCATCAGATGAGCTTAATGTTGCATCACAGTACTGTAGATGGATAGAAATGTGATTGTCGCTTTTTGGTAGAGCTTGAGCTAGAACCATCTCCACCTCTGCCCTTAGAGTTTACTATATGCATTCTGGTGAATAAGCTTTCTCTTGATGGTTGAAGAAAACATTCTGCCAAGCTCTCATTTACAACCTCGAACTGAGTTTTCTCTAGATTAGTTTATCTGATGCAAAAAAAATAAATAATTGTAAACATATGCCGACACTTGTTTTTTTTTTTTTTTGCTTCTCCAGCTCTTCTAGTGCTTCTCTACTTTTACCAACACAACTTTGTTGTTCAATAAAAGAGTTGGTGACTGTGGCTCAAAGCAGTGAACGGGTTGTTTACTAACTGCAAGCTTAATCACCAGCCCTTTCACATGTTTGCTCTCAATGGCAGGCATGTATCATGCATGGCAGCTCTGCCATCACTGTGTGACTGTATGTGGGAATAGGTAACATATTGTCAAGCGTTTGTAAGTTAAGTTACAAAAGCACTATTTCAGAACAGGCTATTACCATTGCCCTATCTGCCCCACTATCACAACCTTTCAAGGCCATTATCTATGAGAAGACTTTTGTTATATCGATCCAACCTGCAATGTTTGGGGCCTGAAACTAAAAATGTAAGTTTCACCTTTGGCAAGCAGTTCCTGGAGGGCGTTCCTGGCCAGAGAGCCACGGATCTTCAGCCTCTCTGACACAACAGCGGGGGTGATGAGTTTGTAGTTGGGAACCTCTTTGTACAGCTTGTCGTATGTGGCCTTGTCGAAGAGGACCAGGTTGTTGAGCTTATCCCTCACTTTTCCCTTGGACCACTTCTGCTCACAATAACAGAGACATTTTGTTTCAATGATGAGGAAAGTTCCACGGTGCACTGCATTCAAACTACTCAGAAACCACTGCATACCTTCTTCTTGGCTTTGCCTCCAGACTTGTTGACTGGGTCCTTGTCCTTTTTGGACTTCCCAGTGTCCTTCTTCTTGTCCTGCTTAGGAGGCTGGAAACAGACGACATCAAGTTAACGCTACACACCGCTTCACACTCAGGCTGTAGCACATGTGCGACATGGTAGCACATATAACGTATTAAAGGACGAGAATGCTTTATAAGAATGTAATCGGAATGAAGATAAAGCTAGTTGACAAAGACATCCGTTTACACTGTAACCGGCTGACCGGCAAGGAACGGCCTTGTCTTCAAAGTGTGTTTCTTGTCTCACTATCATCACTGCGGGCTATTCTCATCGTTTCCATTAGCTGATATAATTCGAATTACTCAATATTCGTGTGCATACATTGTTATCATTGATGTGGAATTATTAGGGACAACTTTATTCGGCTCGTTTTCGGGATGCATAATATAGCTGGAAGCATGGTAGATTTAGCACACTGGCTAGCTAGCAAGCCATTCGCTAAACGAGTAAAATTGCACTATTTCTTGCTTCATCCACGCTCTCCTATCACAGCGTAGAACAGCGCATTCCTACCTCAACATATTCCGAATAGTTAAGACTCTGAAAAAGTCAACGTAAAACTGAAAATGTTTAATTTGCTTCCACAAAACGTGTAGTAACTGTCCTCACCATGTTTCCTCGTCAAGATGTCGGAGCGAAAGGAAGTTCGCCCGTGCACGAGCCCCTTAGACAACCTGTATATGCGGAAGTGAGACTGGGGATTATGGGAACTGTAGTTTTCTAATGTTTCTTCGCTTTCTTGACTTTAATCATTTATATCAGCCTACAGAAACACATTATAATACACAGACCGGAACGGTCGAGATTATTAAGTGGATAAAAACATTACAAATTCAAACCGGATGAGAAAGAGCAAATTTAAACGTTCAATCTTAGCCAAAACGCTGAAGTCACGTGACATTTTTTGTCAGCTGAGCAGGACGTCGCAAAGATGGTGATATTCAGTGTGTATGTCGTGAATAAAGCTGGAGGTTTAATTTACCAATATGACAACTACGTGCCGAGAGCGGAGGTCGAGAAAACCTTCAGCTATCCTTTAGATTTAGTGCTGAAGCATCATGATGAAAAGGTCGTGGTTTCGTTCGGACAGCGGGACGGAATACGAGGTGACGTTTCACAGCACAGCGGTAGCATGTTTCATGAGCTAGCTGCAGTGGAAACCCCATTAAACACTATATGGTGTTCTAGCTAAACAAGTCGGACGAAAGTACATGGTCTAATATTGACAAGACTTCCATATCATGCATCCTATTCGTTAGGTTCCACTGATCTGGATACTTTCCCACCGATTAGGTTAGCTAAATGCTTTCTGTATTAGCTACATTTCATTTTGCATTTAAAGAACCTATCTCACAGATGTGACAGTTTATCAGGATGTTACGGTGTAATTATTCGGTCATTAAACTATATGACTTGACTGACAGTCTGACTTTAAGGCATATTTTCTGAAACTAAACCACTACTTGTGTTGTGATTCCTCAGTGGGCCACGCAGTGCTGTCAATCAATGGGGTTGATGTGATCGGAAAGAATACGTCCGAAGGAAAAGACATCCTTGAATATTTGAAGGATCCCTCCAATTATCCAGTCTCTATTCGCTTTGGACGAGCACGTCTGAGCTCCAATGAGAAGCTGATGCTGGCCTCCATGTTCCACTCGTAAGTCATGTCTACAGAGGGTTGACAGATTTAAGGCAAACCTGGAACACCTGATCCCTAGAGTGAGGGGATCTGTGGGTCTGTGTTATTCTGGGGGGGCATTTTGGTGGTATGGTGTGGGTCCACTCGTTCTCTTAGACAGAAGCGTCAATTCAAATCAATGGCTGGTTATTTTGAGCGGTCACCTTTGTCATGATAAGATATTTCTACGGCGATGAGAGTGGTGGCTTCCAGACTACCCTCGTCCATAGTGCATGAAGGGTCACCACATAGTTTGATGAGTATAAAATGATGTAAACTGGCCTTCACAGTCACCAGATATCAACCCAGTTAAACACCTGTGGGATATTTTTGGACCAGTATGTTAGACGATGCTGTCCACCATCATCATCAAAACACCTAATGAGGGAAGATCATTTAAAAGAAAGGGGTTCCATCACTGTTGTGGAGTTCACAGACTTGCAGAATCAATGTCAAGGTAAACTGAAGCTTTCCTGGCAGCACATTGGGATCCAACACCTTATGAAGAGACTTCATAATGTTTTCCCTTTAAATTGTCACCCATCTATATGTTTTATGTTTTCTCTGGGACTGCAGCGTGGTTTAGTAGGACCAGATTCAAGATCTAATGCTGACAAGCATCAGGACAAGGCACGTAATACACCACTGAGAACTACTCAGGACCTTCTTGTATATCTAGCTGTGATCTTTCTTTTTTTTCCAGTGAAAGGCGGCAAATTAACTCAGGACTTGTTGAGGTCTAATGTGTCTCACACACAAATCAACATGGCTATATATGTGATTTTTCTGTAGGTTGTTTGCCATCGGTTCTCAGCTGTCCCCTGAAGTTGGCAGTTCAGGGATTGAGATGCTAGAAACGGATGTCTTCAAACTCCACTGCTTCCAGACTCTCACAGGTCAGTGGTGCAAACAAGTGTGATCGTAAGTAAAAAGACAAAGAAGAAATTTTATAGCTGACTGTGATCAAGAATATATTTCATGTTTTTTGAATGAGTATCTGAAAGCAGTATGCAGCAGCAGTATGTGCTTAAGTGATCAGAAATTTGGAACTAAAACAGCACAATCACATTTTGGCTGTTAGTAGACCATTGTCAAAAAAATGCAGAAACGACAACGTCCAGCTCATATTTGCCCATTAAAAACTTCCCTGGTCACTAACTTCCTGTTAAAGCAGCCTGTAAAATATACCTTACTGCCTGTGGTACATTTGACAGTGACTGATTTAAACTTTGGTCTCTCTCATTTCTTGTTCCCTCTTTACTCTCTCAGGGATAAAGTTTATAGTGCTGGCAGATCCTCGACAATCTGGTATTGATGCGCTGTTGAGGAAGATTTATGAGATCTATTCAGATTTTGCCCTCAAGAACCCTTTTTATTCTCTGGAAATGCCAATCAGGTAATAAATAGAATGAAGTTCATTCTGTTGTATTTTTATGTCCTAAATTTAGTTTTGTAGTGTGTGTCACATTGCAGATTGCAAGTCCAGTGTCCGTTGTCTTACACCCGCACATTAAATCCTTGTCCTTTGATTTTCAGGTGTGAACTTTTTGATCAGAATCTAAAGAGTGCACTGGAGGTTGCAGAGAAAGCTGGAAACTTTGGAGCTGGGTCTTAAACCAGTGAGGACAAAAGATTCACAGATTGGAAAGAAACAAGTGGATTGTTATTGGGTTTGTTTGGATTTTTTTTTTTCATTTTTTTTGACTAGTTTCTTCCCCCCCAGTCGCTCATGAACACTTTGTAAATATAATATGTCTTGTAAATACTTAAGATTAAATGACACACTGTATGTAAATGTTGTGCATCACTTTTGTTTTTGGCTGCATGTATAATGAAATGCTGAGTAATCTCAAAGTAGTGTGTTGGGCATTGTGCATAAATTATTAAAATAACTGAAAAAGCATAACAACAAAGTATAATTTATTCAAGCCTTTGACTGCTCTCATAATGCAGCCCACACATTGTGCGTTTTTCAGAAAGTATTGTGTAAGTCTTATACGTCCATTCATGATTATAACATTTCTTTTTTTAACCCAGATGTTTAGTGTACCATTTTTTAAACCAGGCTTTAGTTTGGCACTCTTACCATTGACATATTGCAGTGGCCTTTGAAGAGTAAACTGTGCGTAATTTTGTTTTTGCCACAATTCATTATGTGATTTACATAATGTGCAGTCATCATTTACCTTTCCTTGCCAAGTAACTGATTGACCACGTTCAGGCTGTAAATACTTTGTATAAAGAAGCACCTTGCACAACAGGTTTTTTGAAGACAAAGTGCTCAGCTTGATTCCTGTTTATGTAATGCAAAACTGACAGTGGAAACATTGTGGTATAAAAAAATCTACTCAGAAAAAATATGAAAATACAATCAGGGCTCAAATTTTTCCGTTTTCCTCTGAGGGCAGAGGATGAGGCGTAATGATGTTAGTCTGCCTTCTTGGACACGTGTCCCATCTTGGTTCGGATGTTACGTAGCAGGAAGAATCCGATGGCGGTGACTAAACAGACGATCTCTGCTACCCAGAAGGCCATTTCCCAGCCGTGGTGCTTGGCAATGGTGCTGAATGGTAGTCCGGAAAGAAAGCCACCGACTAAGAAAACACGAATGGATAAGTTCACTTTAAGGATTAGAGAACATGGAAAGCATAACACACAAATAGTCACAAAAATACTAAGTGTGTCCTGCAGAGTTTTGTATCTTATCTAAACTAAGCTATTGGTATTATCAGTATACAGGCATGTAGGAGTTGTCTTACACAGGCTGCAAGTCCTACAGTGTATTAAGGTTGTGTTGTTGCGAGAAGATTGGAGTGATTCTGAAATAAACTTACTGTTGGCCATCAGGGCAACAATGGCATGTGATGTCCCACAATAGTTAGATGGGGCACTTTCATTGGCTATAACTCCAAACAATGCTATTGGTCCATAAGAGGAGAATCCAAAAGCTGCACCCAAGCTGAGTATCCACACCTGAATGTACAGAGGAGAGATACATCTGTGATGATGACCAAATCTGATGTGCAGAAGTAGATTTGTGTCCATTGGGATGTCAGCGTTACCTTTGAGCTGTCAGGAGTAACTGTGACTCTGAACAGGTACATGGACACAAACATTCCAGCCATCATGCAGATCAGGATGAAATGTCGAGGATTGCCATAGATTCTCATCCCTTGCTGCACAAAATAAGGACATATATTCAAACTAAAAGCATAATCACAACACTGGTCAGGTAAAGGTGTGGCTAGTCTTGCAAAACTCCATGCGGTCACAAAATGAGGATAAGTGGTCCAACTCAATTTTGGTAAGGAAATGAAACATTTTTGACGTCTATTCTAACAGTGAACATGTCGTACCTTTTCACTCAAAGCTGAACTGAATTTTTCTAACATAGGTGATCAGAGAGACAAATAAACCAAGAAGTAGGAATACACATAAAAGGAAAGTAAGATAAAATTAGCAATAAAAACATTAAAATATAAAGTGTAAAATAATGAAAACAATAAGAATAAATATTTGAACAAAAAGAAAACTCACTTTGGCCACAGCCTTGTCAGAGAAGTATCCTGCTGCAAGACTCCCCAACAGGCCTCCAACCTCCAAAGCGCTCATGTATGAGCTCCCTATGAAGAGGAACACAGTGATTCACAAGAAATGATAAGCTGGACCTTCAGAGTATGTAATAAAAGACTCTGGAGGTGCCTCCTCTCCCCCTCTTCCATACCCATGAGTGTGGACTGGCCCTTGTCCTGGATGAGGAACAGCTGGCCCCAGTCAGTGCAGGCTGTCTTCACCCCAAACACCACGAGGTAGGACACGGACAGCAGCCACAGGTAGGGTGACAGCAGGAACTCAGACAGGGTGCTCTCATCGCTGGAGGATCCTAAACAGGAGGCAGAAGACCAATCAATATTTGCAAACTTGTATGTTTTAAAGCCCTGTTTGTATGTACATTAGTATCAACATGACACAGTGGGTGTAACAAGATATCCACATGGCTGGGGTGAAGGAGGGAGGGAGCTCGTCCTCTCATCAGATTCATGAATAAAACATCTCTTGGGCTCACATACTAAGTTCTCACTTTGCCCAAGTATGAGCCAGACTCCACTCACACCGATGCCATGCGAGGGGCACACTGGGTGCAGAGTCCACCAAGTCAGTGACCTTTAGTCATAACACTGGAAACTCATGCAATACAACACACATGTCCACAATGCAGCTATCTGAGCAATGCCTGCATGTTTAAACAAGATTCAGCCACAGTCTCACCTCCTTTGCTCTTCTTGGCCACTGCCTCTATGTTGGGCAGCCCCACATCCTTAGGCTCGTTCTTGATAACCAGCAGGCACACAAAGGAGAGTGCCACACAAATCATCCCGGAGACAGAGAGTATTGCTCTCCAGCTGTAACTCTCGGCCAGAACCGTGGCGATAATGGGGCCCAAGCTGCCGGCAAGATTCATGCTGCAGGAGAGAACTGCCCACCATGTCCCGAACTGAGAGGGCTCGAACCACTGTAGAAAATAGAGAAGAATAACATGAATTCATGGCAGCGCTGACAGCCAAGTGTCATAATCTGGCCTTTGATATACACAGAGGATAGATTAAGTGAACTGAGAGCAACTAAGAAGAGAAAGGAAAATATTAGACAGTTGCCATGTCACATGTTGTGACAGTCTACTGAATTTTCAAGCAGCAAAAATATCCTTCCTTAATCAAAAATATAACCTCTAATATTCGTACATTTTACAAATCCAACATTTATTAGACAATAAATCCACTTTTCTTTGGCAACAGGTTTCCTGCTGCCTTCTTGCTCGATTTTTTATCGATTGTGTTTAAAGTACTCGTAAGATTCCACGTTGCAATGTTTTGAGTGCACAATACACAATGTGGTGTTAGGTGCAAAACAACATGTGCACAGACATCAGTTTTAAGAGACACCTTCTACATTTGAGGCTTTGGAAAATGAACAGGCCACACGAGCAGAGATCAAAATGACATCTTCATCAGGGTTTGACAGAAAATATATGAAGACCTTCTTATCAGTTTTATTTATTTGTCTTGTTTTTTTAAATGCCATGGCATATACAGGTATAGAAACCATAGCGTACATTTGAACTGTATTATAAAATAGTTGGTTACATGAACTTAGATTAATTTTAGTCAGTGTCAACTGACTGTACTGAGCATATTAGGTGTTTAATCTGTAGTATCATTTAATTAAAAAAAAAAACTCTAATGTTTCTATTGTGACTTGTTCTTTTATGTGTTTCATGTTCCTGATTTGGACTTGATTTGTTTGTGCCTATAACTTAACCCAGTTCACACTGTATGCTCCTGACAAAGAGTATTCTGGCCCCTGTCTATTCTTTATAACATGTGAGATAAAAATCTAGACGTTGAAGCAGATGCCAGCATATTGCAGCACTGATATACAAGGATGTGGGTCATATACCTTCCGCAGCACCCTGCCACAGGGAGGCCAGCCCAGGCCTTGTCCCAGACCATTGAGAAACCACAGTGCAGAGAAGACAGCGACAGTGGAGGACCAAGAGAAGACCACGTTGATGCCTCCCACCATGAACAGGCCAATGGAGAAGAGCCAGCGGGCACTGATCTGGTCCGAAAGCACGCCGCTGATGAACTTGCTGATAGCGTAGGCCAAAGACTGACTACTGGTGATCATGCCTGAACAGAGAGAGTGCAGGAGAGGAGGGAACACACAGCAGATAAAGCTCTCGCAGTTCATTTTAAAACACACAGCTCATATATCAGGATAAATCACAGCTGTACGAGAGTTCATTAAAAAAGTCAAACGTGCAAGGACATGTCAATATAACCGCATGGGTAGAAGTTAGTCAGAGTCACACTTGTGATGTTAACACAAGTAAAAACTTATCTTCGTCTATTTATTATGACTTTTAGAAGAAGGCATGCAATACATATGTAACAGGAATAAACCAAGTGTCTCATACCCAGGTCATCCTTGTCCAGCTTAATTTCTTGCATAAGCGAGGGCATCACAAAGGAAAAAGTCTTTCTGTTAAAGTAGTACAGCGTGTAGCCCACAAACATGGCCAGAAATATAGTGCCTCTGTAGTATCCATAGTTTGCTTTTGCCATGATTGCAGATGTAGTCCTGTAACAAAAAAAGAGAAAAACAGAAGACAATCCAGGGAAGGGAGCAAGCTCCTGCCGTTTGACAGACTTCTGCTGCCTGTGACACTGAACTTTGCTTCAGGATCCACTGTGCAGAAGCAGCTGCTTGCAAGTGAAGAGGTGTTTGCAATCAGCGCAGGAGGTTAATGGTCAACTTCACTGCCCTGCGGCTGATTGAATCTGGGTTTGCTGCCATGTGCTGCAGGCCGCCCAGGTTTGGAAAAAGAAACCATCAATTTGTGACATGAACACTGAATATATTGTGTTGTTTCCTTGAGGCATCAGTCCTTCTGTTTTAACAGCGACCTTGGCGTTGTTTTTGCTTTGCTGCTGTGCGTCAGCGTGAAGATGTTATGGAAGGAATCCTCTGACTTGTGTGTTTAATGATTTACTGGGGAGTCCAATAGGTAGTGCAGATCAGGGGGAGGCTCCTCTCCAAACGAAGTGAAACGTGGTGATCTTCATCAGCATAAGACCTGCCAGACACACATGCAATAGATTCAACTTAAGTATCTGTTGCTGTCTAAAAACTCCAAATATGGGCTGTGGGCAAGTGAATCTGGATCAAATCATGAGTCAAATCTGTCAGTTAAAAAGTGCTAAAATCACACAATTTACAGGAAGTATTGTGTAAAAAAAAAAAGTATACTGTACTTGAGTGCCAATAAACCACCAGTGTCTTTTTGTCCAGCTCTTCTTTTCTGTGCAGGCAGGTTATAAACACCCTTTTCTTAAAGTACCACCTCAGATTGCAGTGAGGCTGTATAGAAGCTGCTCACCAAGCGAACAGAATGTGCAGCTTCCGCATCATGTGGTGCGCTGGCACCGCCCAGAGCTAATGTCACTGACACGGCTGAATGAAAGAGCTCTTCTGTGATACAAACACAGTGCTGCTGTTAACATTAACTGTGACAATTCAAGACAAATGACATGAACGCTGAGCCACAAAAGGAACATTTCGCGAACAATTATAATAAATGTAACAAATGTGAACGTGGGCTGCAGACAGTGTTTTAGGTGTACCTAACATGTCTACGATGGCTTACGGCACTGCAAGTTTTCCTACGTTTTCCCTCGACTGCTGACTCCGAATCAGAAGTTACTACCTTTTAAAATAGGGACTTTACAGTTAAAACAGTTAGAACACAGGAGAGGGAACAAGGGAACATTTACATTTACTGCTAACTTTGTGGGAGGCTTAGCTGCTGTATCCTGTTTTTGTTTGGTTGTGTTATTGTGGACGGCACACTGTAGTTTAGCGAGCCCCGCCTCCTTGCTTCGTTTCCATGGCAACAGACAAACAGAATATTTCAATTACTATAACGACACTGGCCGTTGAAGTCGTATTACTAGTCAGTGAAGCTAGTTAACAACAAACTACTAAAACTGTCGTTTAGTTAAAATAATTTCTTCTCCGCTTTCCGCTGCCTTTGACAATCGAGGATCATGGTAAGTTTAACGTTAACGGTTAAATAGGGATCCATGTTGTGTCACTTTTTCAAAACACCACCTGACTGTCCTTATCGTTGGTCCCCACAGAGACTCGCCTCCAGCTCCACCACCTCCAGGGGCAGATCTTATCCCGGCCGGTACCGCACACTGGCCCCCAACTCTCAGGTGGATGAAACCCTGTTCGGGAGCCCAACACCGGTGAGTGTGATACAAACCACATCCCAACACAGACAGCCAGGTGTCTGCTGTATACAACTATATTACTAGTGATGCTCTGTATGTAGCTGCAAGGTCGGAAAAAGTACAAATCGTGAATGGGTTTGTGAGTTGTTGCTATCTGACACCAGTCAATGACATTACAGGTAGACAAACGTGCAGCCTCAGCCACCAAGACAAAGGACGGGTCCCAGAAGAAGAAAGAAGGAGAGACAATTCAGATCATTACCAAAGACCTCATTCGCAATCTCAGGTAGGCTCTACCAATTTATCTTTAGATCTGAACGCAGCTTGAGCAGCTAAATTATATTTGAAAATAACACATAGCAAATTTGAAAATTGTGTGCAACTTCCTTAATAATCTGTTCCTATAATTTAGAGCTGTTGGCTGTTGTAGAGATGAAAAATGCTGATCATGATTGTATGAAGGTGTTTGCAATAGATAGACTTGCTTATGCGGTTGCCCAGACAACCAGAGCAGCTTGCATTGTTTGTATATTTGTAGATTTAGTGTTTCAGTAGGTAATTTTTTTCCTAGTCTGTGAGAGCACATGTTGTCTTTTAGCTATACAATTACTCTACGTGCCTTAAATTGCCCCCAGGGGACAAATAAAGTTAATTGAATTGAATACCAAAATCACACCTAACAAACATTAGAGACTGGTAAAGATAAATGGAGTGAAGGCTTCAGTGCTTTAAAACATGTATTCTTTCTAAAGGCCAGCAGAGGGAGACTCTGAACTTTGCTGTTAAATGATCCTTTCACACTTAAAAAGTATGGACATATATATTCATATAGTATTACATATTATAAGTACATGCTGTTTATGTGTTTATATACATGCCGTCTTTGGCCAAGTATGCCTTACGCGACCCCTGAGGATAGAGGGGTCATACAACATATGTTCATGTATTTGGGTGTTGCCCCTGTTTTTGTTTCAGAACCCTGTCACAGCTTCTTTTAACTTCATGAAAGTTAACTATAACATTCTGGCCACCCAAAAATATCTTTCTCAGCTGTTCAGTTTTACTAAAAGACACTTTAAGCAGTTCGTTTTTATACCAAGTGCATTTTAAGCTGTTTGCTAGCCAAAACTAGCATCTAAATTAATGTTGATCACTGTTGAATTACTACTGCACCTTTCTATTCTTATTGAATTTCCCTTCTGGGATAAATAAAGTATTTTTCTAGCCAAGCACTTTAGCTAGTGTCTGCTGTGCTAATAATATCTGACCCCACTTCACTTAACCTGTGGTAACCTGTGGTAACAAAAACTTAATGTCAGACCATTCTGCATTATTGAATGGTCTGACCACAAACTCATCGAAATTAACTGTAAGGGCTGCCTTTCTGTCCAATCCAAATCATCTGCAAAAATGTTCAGTGTGGTGGTGGTGTTGTTGTTTCTTGTAGTGAAGGGGATTTTGAAATGCATAACAGGCAGATAATGGATGGGGAAGAGAAAGCCACATGAAATGCATAGTCAGCAGCAGACTTATACTTGCAGCCCACATCTAGTGAGTTAGATTAATGTAATGGTAGCTATTCAGCCAAAGTTGACCAACGTTCAGTTAAAGATGTGTGTTTAGTGTTTGTGGCATGTGTTCAAGTTAAAGTGTATCACTATGGTTACATAGGCCTTATTGGATGGTGATGCACTGTTTGGTGTCTTTGGTTTCTGAGTCAGATCCAGAGTTTGCTCCTCAACAGATCCACTCTCTGGTCCATATGTGGTCACTGATTAAAGTTGAACAATTAATCAATTTTAAATCACAATTTTAAAACAATCCACTCAGAAAATTACAAAGACTGTAGCTTAGGACATATGAAGTGTGGCTATTAAATGAGGAGATTTAACTTGACCTGACTGAAACTTTTAGGGATTGTTTATGCTGCCCATTGATCAATGTATGCTTCTGGCATGGACGCTGTGGTTTCACTGACATAAGTCTATTATTTATTAGCAACACCTCTTACATCTTGCAGCATATCTGAGCCAAGGTTTAAACCTTGTCATGTCATGTCAGTGGTTTTACAGTTTCATGCAATTCTCCTTGTGACATCATGCCTTTGATGGCCCCTCATGTGGTATAGCTGCATCACAAGTTTCTGTCTAAAGCACATCCATCCATTATCTAGACACCGCTTAATCCTCACTAGGGTCGCGAGGGGGCTGGAGCCTATCCCAGCCGACTTAGGGCGAAGGCAGGGGACACCCTGGACAGGTTGCCAGTATATCGCAGGGCTACAGACAACCAAGCACACTCACACTCACACCTCTGGACAATTTAGAATCACCAATTAACCTCAACATGTTTTTGGACTTGTGGGAGGAAGCCAGAGAACCCGGAGAGAACCCACGCTGCACGGGGAGAACATGCAAACTTCACGCACAAAGAACTGGCGACCTTCTTACTGCGCCATCTTGTAGCCCCTGTCTAAAACACAGTGAATACTAAACTGAAGCTTGACTTTAAAAAACACCTTGCAGGTCAAAATAGCAATATCTGTGAGAAAAATTTAAATTGGATATTTTACCCAAACCACTCAGCCCTAGAGCTGATCCAGTCAAACACAAACTTTACCCCAATACCAAACTCGAGTCTTCAAAACGGAAGTCCACAAACCAGTGGGTGACATTGCAGAGGCCACGTCCACTTCTTTTATACATTCTCTGCTAACAAACTACAACCTGTCACTCTGCTAGGATCCCACGCCACGATCCTTTAGGAGGGGCTGTCATTATCCCATCAGCAGAGTTTCAGCGGATGGCAACGTCCCGGGTTCTGGACAAGGCGGGGAAGACAGAAGAACACCGCTCCAGTAGACCTGTAAAAAAAAAAAAAAAAAAAAGTCATTGGGTTTGCAAATTTATAATAACACAGTAAGCTCACTTGGCTTTTTTAATGTACTCCCTATCCAGAAAAGTGCAGAGGAAGCAAGGCTTCAAATTTATAAGGCAGACCTGTCCTTTAAGAAGAACCAGGCACTGACTGAGCTGGAACTGGGGGCCCAGGACCGTGCACGGCGCCTGATGGAGCGGGCCAACGCTTCAAGGATGGAGCGAGAGGATGAGATCAAAAAGCTCAATCAGGCAGGAGACAGTTGTGGATGCCAAAATTACAAAAAGAAAAAGAAAATGGGCATGGCGTGCATGACACATGAACATTCGTACTTCTGTGTGTGTGTGTGTGTGTGTGATTCCTTCAGCTGATTCAGGGTGCTCAGTGTCAAGCCATACTTGACGCCCAGATCCAGGAGAAGAAACAGCTCGAGGCGGAGATGGCAGAGGAGGAGAAGCGTCTGGACATCATGATGGAAGTAGAGCGCCGCAAGGCTTTGGAGACTGAGGAGAAGATTGATGAGCTGCGCAAACAGCAGAGGATCAGGTAAAGGGAGCACATACAAACACATTTATGTTCTGAAATTATGACGTTTTTAAAAAATCATTTCAGTCTTTCCTCAACCTGATGGTACTTTCTTTTAGGGTGAAGAAATTGCAAATTTATTTGACTCAAGGAAACTATTTACACGTTTGTCATTAGACCATTTTCTAATCGTGAGGCTACTGATGAGCAGTGAAGGTAAACTAGGAGCATTGCCACCACATGTGTGTTATATTTCAGAGGAATGCAGCAAATTTATGACCAAATCGAGCAGCATCGGGAGGAGAAGAAAGTCGAAGATGAGATAAAAGAGCAAGAGAGACAGCAGATACGAGAGAAGCAGGAGAAAATGAACCTGGAAGACCTTGAGGTGCAGATGCTCTACACATACAAACACACTAAAACACAAACAGTACAGAGGGATATGCAGCCACATGTACAGTACACAGATATGCACTGGAATCAGTTATTTTTTCTCTGATCTCTTTTTTTCAGGCCCTAGAGAAGAAGAAAGTGGCGCAAAAGCTTCTGCAGGAGGAGTCTATGCGCATAAATGCTGAGACTATGCGAGCCAAGGAACAGAGGATGGAAGAGGAGAGGCTGGCTACTATGAGAGCTATGGAATACATCAAAAACAAACAGGTCATCATGTAAAAAATATTCAATTTGGTATTGAAATGCTGATTTCTCTTCCAGCTGCATGTGTTAAGTGGGCATTTTGTTTTATATTGTTTCACATTGCCATTTCCTGGCCGCTGCAGGGGCAGGAAGCAGAATATGAAGCAGAACAAAACCGAATCAGGAAGGAGAAGGAGTTGGAGATAGCCAGGCTGCTGGCCCAGCAAGAAAAAGCAAAAGACCACAAGGCAGAACAGGTCAGGAATCAAACTACTAACTGATTGAAAGCCAATAGAAGTGACACCTGCTCCGTCTATTAACCCTATTGAAGTTTTTCATATTTTCAAATGCACTTATCTACTTGTGTTTGCGGATTTGAATGAAGGATGAGCTTCGTGCTCGGAGGAACCAAGAAATTGCAGACAGAGAATGGAGGAGAAAGGAGAGAGAGCTGGCGGCAAAGAAAGCACAGGAGGAAGCAATGCTGAGGGAGGCTTGCTTAGAACAGGTTCACAGCAAAATGCACTGCCTGTCCATTGAAGGTGCCCAGAAGAAGGCAGAGTTTGCAAGGGTGCTGAAGTAAGAAAGAAAGAATTCTTTGAGAGAGAAAAAAATCCCATTATCATAACACACTGCTTTATAATTTTCTTTGCCACTTCTACCTTTCTTCGCACAGAGCACAGCAGGAGGCGATAGCCAAACAGGAGCAGGAGGAGGAGAGGCAGAATCAGAAAGCGCACCGCCACGCACAGGCCATCCGACAGCAGATGAGGGAAAGTGAGCTCTCAGCCATAGCAAAGCGCTGTGAAACCTTCAAAGAGGCTGATCGGCTCATCGAGGAAGCCCGGCAGAGACGCGTACGCCTTGATGAGATCAAAAAGAAGAAACTTGAGGAGCTTAAGTAAGTATGAGCAGGTGAACAGGGGTTGATATTTTATCATTAATGTCATGGAGCTCCACTGTCAGTGTCCAATAAATTAAAAAAATCTGATATCCCTTTGTCAACATCCAGGGCTACAGGAATCTCGGAAAAATACGTCAGTGAAGTGGAAAGAAAAGCCCAGATGTACAAACTCTGATTCATGCACAAGTCCTCACCTGGTACCTGCGTCACGTTTACCTGGTCTGTTTAAGAAGGAATAAAATGTTTTAATTTGAATTTAAATGATCTCCAAGGGGAAATTGCTTACTAATGTATCTAAGAATATCTAAAAGGATTTAACAACAAAGACTTCTATTGCACCTTAAAAGCTTTTGATCATTGATATGTACACATTTGAGTAGTTAATGTTAATTTAAGATGTTTTTGTTTGTGTAACTAAATTGCAAAGTCAAGTCAACACAATAAATGACATTTTCACACAACTGCTTCCTCTCACACAGACTGATTCCACAGGAGACCGGATACAATTTTTAGTTTTTATTTAGGCTAGTATTTCCCTTTCAGTTGAGTCATATTCTTCCACTTATCAGTGACAGATCCCCTTTATTATTATTATGCATGACAACAGAAAGGAATTCAACTTATGTTAGGGTTAGGATGACACTTTACACACAGCTCAAAGCATGTAAGGAAGTTAAGTACATCAAGGTAAATAACAGGCTCTTATTTCAGACCATTCTTGACAAAGAACTGGATGTACAGAGACCTAATTTCTTCATCTTAACCATCTAAACACACAACCTACAGGAGTGTTTATGGATCTAATCAAGCTGTCATTAGAACACCAAAGGTTCCACCAGCCTGTCTCCTTCTGCCTCCTTGTTTCTTATGCATTAACGTAGGAGGAGTCAGGACTAGGGGAGTGGGTGGAGGACAGATAGCTGGGGTCTCCATCTAAAAGTTTTCAATTCGTCATGTTCACATCTGTACACGCAAGAAAAAAAAAAAGTAATGGTGACCGAGGGAAACATCACAACACCTGGCATACACGGACCTCAGTACGAGGAGGGTTCAGAGTAAATACATACACACGGTACAGTTATGGGCCCTGGGGTTTGGTAGCCGTGGTCCCGTCCTTGCACATACACAGATACAGTCCCACACAAGCACTGTACACGGCACAAGAGGTCACCTAAATACATGGAGCCAATGAAGGAGAGCTAATATCTAGGACGGTGGATTGGGTAGCCCAATACAGGCTGAGAGGAGGGGGTTTAAAATTCTTATTTAAACCTTCAGGTCGCACTCGCGGACACACATACGCACACACAAACACAAACACACCCTCAGTCACACAGTGACATACGTCTGTATGCATTTAAAACTCCATAAAGCTACACGCCTGTGCAGAATATACTATCATTACTTAGTGTTGCTAGCTATAGCCATTGAAATGGCAATATATGTTCAATATTATATGTAACCTTTTTTCCTCAGAATATACAATGATGAAATGCATTATACAGACAAACGAGACAATGTAAGCTGTTCACATGTTCAGTACATCAAAAGTAAGAGCTTCTCTACATTAATTTCTTCATGAGTGCAAAATCCAATGCTCCTCCACCTACTTCAAAGGTTCATTGCTGAGCTTTAGCAAGTCCACTTTTGCACAAACCATAAACCGATAAAAAAAAACATTACATTAACATAAACACAAAAAAATCTAAATAAGTAGTCATAAATATGGAATGTGAAAAACAAACATGTGGTCCAATTTCTTTCAAACAATACAAATAAAAGTCCTTCAATGCAGTTAAATGTTTTCTCTTGTAACACGACAACATAATAAAAAAATAGTACTCAAAACGAGAGTGGGCTGTTGCTTGCTTGTGGCCCCTGTTGTGAGTAGAAGACCATGGGAAGCTGGTGAGGAACACAAAGAGAGAAGGACAGATGGAAGGAAGGTGTGGGGTCAAATTGTGGTGGGGGGGTTTGTTGGGTGTTCACATGCCATAACCGAAGCTGGGCTGTGGTGGCTGGCCATAGCCTGGAGCTGCTGTGTAGCCGTAGCCGTAGGCCTGCTGTGGAGGCACAGCCACGTTGGGCCCTGCTGTGAGCATGAGCTGGGGTGTGCCTGTAACAGAAGCATCAAAATTATTAGTTAAAAACTGCACAGCTGTGGTCATATAGTCAAATTCATTTTCTAGGTTTCATTTAAATGTCCTTACAACTGGTGAAGGCAGGATTACAGCAATACAGTTAGAATCTGATGTGGGCTTTTTACCATAAACGATGGGTTGAGACTCTGTAGCCTGCTCCTCCTGTTTCCTCAGAGACTCAGAGGCTTCGAGTTTGTCGACCTGTAGGAAACACGACAACAGTGAATGTGTCAGACTTCAGTTGAACTGCAGGCGATGGGGCTCTTTAAGAGCAAGGGCTGAGACGCTGGGTTTGTAAAAACTGACCTCGGGGTTATTTCACTGGCTGACGGATGGGACCATTCCTGACAGGCGAAGACGAATACAGTCCAGATTTAAATAACAACAGGCTGCAGGAGGCAGGCCTTGCTAATGTGTTGGAGGCCCTCTATGTGGCAAGAGGAGTAACTACAACTAGAGCTACTGGCTACGCTATCAAGCTTGGCTACAGCGGTCTATCAGATAGTCATCCACTTGTTTGTGGAAGGAATTGGGGAATAAGCAGGGGAGACAAAGACAAACAAATTGCTACTGGGCAATAATGGTCCCACCATCCAGCCACCCAAAACATCTACTCTAACATTTTGGAAACGTAAGTATGTAGAGAACCAACCCCACACCAGTACAAACAGACCAACTAGGATTCATGTTTTTGTTTCCCGTTAGATAGTATGTCATCTCAATTGAATTTCCCTTCTGGGATAAATAAAGTATTTTTCATTTCATCTCTTGGCAAAAGATCAATACTCTGCATGGTGGTCACAGACAGAAGCAGACCAACACACATTTTGATTAGCCTTTGGGATTCATTCTTCATTCATAGATTAATCATCGGGTTTAATGATTGATAGAAAGCAGGGAAAAATGGCAATTTTAACAATCCAAAAAGAGGTTATCAATTAATTTATTAACAAATCATAACTGATTCATCACCAAATTTTGCTATCTGCTGTTGAAGCTATCAAAATATTTTGGGAGGTTTGTGTAAACATCTGTTGTCCCATTTGCTTATTCGACAGTTTGTATTCTATCTTAAGTGCAACAAGACTTGGAGTGTGTCTTTACATTTTAAGAGGCGTGTGCCGGGCCGTCGCACATGGACCAAATTAAGATACTGCCTAAGTGCAAACAGCTCTGTGAAGCATGTAAAAGCCTTGAGAATCAAGCTGCCAAGACTGCCAGTTTTATCTTTGGTGCTTTAGTATTTGCTAAGCAGCTCAGAGGCAGACAATGACAGGGAAAGGGCAAAAGATAAGAGCTAAAACAATTCAAAGAATTAAGCAGCCAGCGAAAAGCTTCAGATATTACCCTCATTACCTTCAGCTGACACTGTTCAGTACTGATGAAATCAATCAGACAGTGCTATGTGATGCATCAGGACAGCTTTCCTCCTGTGGTGGTTTTGGGTTCAGTTCTCTACATACTGTCTGGTTTACTACTACAGTCAGTCAATCTGGTTAAGCAGGCTGTTTCAAGAAAAGACAGGCTGTTTCACTTGAGAAGAGAAGGGTTGAAAGACATGCTGAAGCAGCAGTTTAGTTTATTTTCTTCTTGAAGAGTGCATGGAAAAGAAAGACAGAAGCAGAGAGCCGTAGTGGAGGGAGTGTGAGCGAGGGTGGAGGGGATGGTTTTGTACAGCCAGTTCAAGGTTTCCAGAAGCAGGCACAGCCAACAACGATGTCTCCTAGCCTGGCCTGAGTGCTGCTGATGCTACCAAGGGAGGGGGAAATGCATGCTTGTCGCTCTACATGGTATTTATTGTTTCCCCAAAGAATTTACCTAAGCTTTATATTATTTGCAGTCATATGCTGAAGTTGTTTGTCCCTTGAAGAGACCACACTTTATGGTATAAAAATATACCCTTCTAAAAATGCCTGTGCCTCGTGTTTATGGTTTCTATCGCCTGTTCTTCTATAACATTGTGATAAATTCAGCAGTAGAGACAGATGTTGAGAAAAATAATAAAGAGGTCTCTGAAAAAATGGTCACTTCATTAAAATATTGCCTCTATTACTGAAATTAGATCTTACACTTAGCTGCAGTCTACGCTACTGCACCACAGTCCAGATACAGATATCAATATGCCCTCACCCACTCTCAGTATAAAAATATAATTAAGAATTAGTAACGTCATACGTGTTAAAATTCCCTTATATACCATTACAGGGTGAAAACATATGCTTCCTGAAATTATGCTGGACCAAGTCAGGATGATGGCTTGTAGCAGACTGCAGCTGAGTGGTGTTACAGGACAGTTTAACATTAGAATTCATCTACAAGTCTGTGAGAAAAGGACCTGACCACAGCAGGTGAGGTAGGTACCCAGAGAGGCGCTCTTCACCCAGCGCTAAGGAGATCTGATAGGCATGCTGGCTTAAGTGGATGGCTCAGTTGCACACTTGACAGAAATATGTTAAAAGGGTTTGGTCAGTGTAGCAAATCTACAGAGAATTATGAAGAGAGTCTGTAGTTGCTTTCAACTCTGTGGAACTAAACAGCATTTATCTTATTGTCTTGGTTTTCTGGTGCACAGTTTTGCTTCACTCTGGCTATAAACATTATGTTGATGCCAGCTGCAGGAGTTAGTTGTTTTGGGAGAAAATGTCTAGTTTATCAATTGAAAAGATGATATATTACGGGAGCGTTTACTCTTTGTTTCCTGCTGTCCATACATAACCAGAAGAAATCAGTTCAGCAAAGCTTATAATGAAAATTTAGCAATGCCCACTACATAACAAAGTCTAACCCTCTAAACCTGGAAACCCACCAGTGGGCTTAAAGGCATGTTATATGTAAATAAATCATCAAAATGACACCATTTATCAGAGCAAGACGCTGTAAAAACAGAAAGAACATTTACATTTTTTCAGACAGTTCTTTTGAAAATGATTCACATCTTAGCTAAAAATTGCAATTTTATACAAAATAATTTCCATAAACAGCTGTTATTTTAATTTACATCATTTATCACAGCTAGAAAATGTGAAAAAAGAAATCTTCAGATTTTTCTTTTGTTGTAGAAATACTTCTCTGACTTTGTTTTATGCCTTATTTAAATACACTAAAAATAAACTGGTCTAATTAGATTCTGCAAAAAACAATAAATTCTGCATTCCTCAGTTTAACCCAGAAGCCTTAACTGGCTCAGCTGTGACCAACAGTCATGTGAGAACAATTCAGAAACTTTTCAGGAGATAGGAGGCAAGTATGGAAACAATACAAAAAAAGTTGTAAAATATCTATATTATGCACAGTACAATTATTTATTTTTTTTTGCACTGGTAACACCTGGGGGCGTCATAAAAAACCTTGTACAAGTTGATTCCAGGTATCTTAAATATTTAGTAGAATAAATAATCTGAGATATTCAATATAACTCTGTCATACTGCACAAAAGACATCTGAGCTCTCTCTACTTCTAGCCATGGTTGTGCCATTTCCATAGAGTTTATATTGAAGGTTGAAAGTAGTTTTTGTACATAGCTAATATGGATGGCCAATGCTGGCTAGTTGTAGTTACGATCAGAGAAAACAGACTGTGTACTCACATGCCTGCGCAAATATGGGCACCTGACTGTAACACACCACCATTTTAACAATTAAAATGTTCACAGTAATCTGTTAAACACATGGTGTCTGTGTAGGTAAAGTCTATCAGCATTTATCACTGATGCCTTAGACGCAACATCAACAACATTTTCACGTCCTCTTGCTACTAGTTGTGCATGTCCAATTTAGTAATCAGTTTTTTTGTCCTGAGCCGTCACTGACACCAGCAAACCAAGCAGGGCCTTGAGGGGTGGGTGTGAAGAGCCCCGCTCTGGAGTGTTGTGGATTGGTAGGTTGTCTAGTGGAGATGTGGAGTTTACAGTCAGAAGCAGCAGAGTGACATGGGGGGAGAGGAGACATGCAGTTTCTGCTAATTTTACTCCTCCAAACTACAGGCTACAGGACAGGGGAGAGGGGTCAAAAAGAATGATTAGAAAATGGATTCGACTTTCACCTTTTCCTTTATCGCATCAACCTGGAAAGGAAATTCAGAGAGGCAACTTAAGGAGGAAAAAACAAATGGGAGTCTCCCAAAATAGAAATTGACAGAGAGAAAAGAGCAAACAGAGGACTTGTCACTTAAAGAAGAAACACAAAATCCTAAGAGTGATGCGGGTAATTAATGCCACTTTTGATACAAATGCAGACTTGAGATTAATCTGGTACTGTGAATTTTCACCTTGTGTAAAAACTAAAAGATCTTGGCTTTTAGGGTATCCGCTAAGTCTGGACACCTAAATAAAATTCATTAAATAATATGCAATCTCAAATATATAACCTCAATTATTTGCAAATCATTCACTGAAAATATACAAATGATTTGTTTTTTGTGATACAGAATGTTATGTAAGTAACAGCTAATTACTGAAGTATTTTATTGTAGCAGTCCAAGTTCAGCACATAAATGCAATACATTCTTAAAAACGCTTTACTCAGGTCTGCTGTCTGTTTTGAAAGCAACGCGTGGGTTGTATTTATTTTGCCATGTAACAGATAAATGGCATGATGAGCAACACAGCAGTTATGAATCTCTTTTGTAACACATTTGTATGGAAAAGTAGCTTGAATGAATGGAGACCCAAATGAAGGAAAACACCAGTGATGACACATGATGACTGACAGAAGCATAGAAGGATGAGCATGAATGGAGGAAAGAATTGGCAGAACTGAGAAGGCTTTTATCTTTGATACCCTGTCAGCGAAACTGTGTGACACTGCCTATAGTCAAACAGTATTTGCAAACACATTTTAGCAGCTTCAGCCACTTTTTTTTTTTAAAGTAAACGATGAGCAGAAATCCTGATCATCAATCAGAGAAAAAGTATTTTAAGATTGAATTTAGTATTCATGTCTTTCTGTGGAAAATGTTAAGACATGTTGGTCTCCACTTAAGTAAGGCTTGGATGATGTAGGTTTGCAAATACTGTTTCACAAGTCTTAACATAACACCTAACTGCAGGAGAAAATCCATTGTCAGAGTGTAACTTATCCATCCCACCAACAGTCTAATTACTTTCTTTCACTGTAGCCATTTCAGAATTGCAAAGGGTATCTATAACATGAGTCAATATGCTTGGCTCTTTAGAAACCTCAAAAAGTCAACGTCTTGATACACTGCGCACAATAGATACCTCCAACCCACCTTACTGAGATACTCCCTCATGACCTGGATGAAGTATGGCATGGAAAAGTCCATGATGTTGTGTCGCCAGGCAGTCTCCAACACCACATCGGGCCGCAGCAGGTCGTAGCAGGTGAATAGGCAGGCAGCAAAACACTCCTTCTTGTCTTCCTTCAGGAACCAAGCCAGGAGCTCCTCTGCCAGCTCGGTGTCTTTGGACTCTGATGCGTACTGCATGGCATCCTGCAGAGAGAGCAGCAGAATTGCTGGTCAATAAACTGACTTAGGTGAAGTGACTACATCTGCCATTTACATTTTAGCACCAATAGTTTGTTTTTGGAATGAAATGTGTCTTATGATTTATATTACTTTGACGACCTGGAGTATCTTCTGCAAGTTATGATTAATTTTTGTAGCCATGCACCTTGTAGAGCTTGTCCTTCTTGCAGAGCTCGACACTCTGTTTCCAGCGGTTGTTTCCCTTGAAAAGGTAGGCTGCGATCCTCCGGAATTCAATCAGCTCATGCTTCTCCAGGCCCTGGGCCAGCGAGATGTTGTCAAAGTTGTCATAAGCATCGATGGAGGTACGCAGCGCCTAGATAACAGAAGGGGGGGATTATAAGTAAGAGCAGAAAATGCAACTCTGTGCAAACATGTTTACTGCTGATAAAAACTGAAGAACTGCAATATATTTTGTGTGCTGTGCTGCAAATGGCAAATTTAACACTACTGGCACAAAATAAAAAAATTATCACATCATACCGCATAGTCTTCCTCAATGATGAAGAGGTTGTTAAGTGCCTCATTCACTGACTTGTTGTTGTGATTCTGGACAGACCTTAGGTAAGGTTTAACCAGAGGCAGCTGTTTGACCTAAACAAGAAACCAAAATAAAAACCATCAGTGTCAGTTATCATTTTCTGTCATCAGCAGTCTCTTTTATGTTGGGATTTTCACTCATAACGTTACCTCAGTGATTCACAGTAGCATTTAGATTTGTGACATTGAATTTGAAGATATGTAGCATATGATTACAAATAAATGTTTACAGAAAGGAAAAATGGCCCAGGACCTTGCTGAAGAAGTTGACAGCGCGTGTGTGATCCAGTCTAGGAGAGAGGACGATGAGCAGGTCGTTCAGTAACAAAGGTTTGTACTCCAGATAATACTGGACGGCCTTGTAGTAGAGCTCCACATTGGCCACCTACAATAAGAAACACATAACCTTTACCTCAGTTGTAGGGCAGTGCTGTGCTTTGGCACTGCTGTTAATAGTAGAACTTGTTACCACAAATCACACAGTTTTATGTTTTGTTTTTATCACCTTGGTGACAATATCTTTGAACTGGCCCTCTTTCCAGGCATCAGCTGGGTGGTTCATCATGGTGATGATGGCATTATCATATTCCTCGTACTTGTCGTAAAGGAACACCAGCTCTGCCCAGAGGTGAGCCTGCTCGGCTGCCCTGAGAACCTGACACACAAACACACAAAAACACAGATTACTTAATGAACTCGTTTAACTTTTTCTTTTGTGAGAAGAAACTCAGACTGGTTCAAATTAAAGACTTATGGCAAAGTTTATAGTAGATCCGTTTCCCACGCCTACCTTTGGAATGTTGACACGGGACCAGAAGAGCTCCAAGTGTTCCCTCATCTTCTGGGGTTTGAATTTGGAGTAGAGGATGGCCAACTCAGTGAACATACCCATGTGAGCGCGCTCCAGCCCCAGGGCAGCCTCCAGCATGGTGATCAGCTCCTCAAAGTAGCCACGGTCCTGAAGGACGCAGATAGACTTACCACTTACCATCCATACCACTTACAAAAACTTTCATTTTTACTTTTCAACGGGGAGAGAGCCTATGTGAAGTATTTTAATTGAGATACATCACCTAACAAAACTTATGTTTGCACACAATTAGATTAACTGAAATAAAGGTAAAGGCACAGCATTACAGAATGTAATTTGCAAGCTCTAGTATTTTGGTACAAGAAAAGAGCAACTGAAAATCCTACTGTCTTGTGTATGACTGACTGATTACCATTACTGTGTCACGCATTAACAAATGTCCAGCCAGCACAATGAAACAAAGATCCTGCATTCTATAAAAAAAATTAAAAGACACCTAAATTATTTTTTTTAGCATACTTTTCACTTAATACAGGCATTCTTCTGTCACAATACCAGGGGGAGTACAAAGAAAATAGGATTCAGTCTTATCTCTTTCCGTAACAGTTAGCCAGTGTACCTGGTAGTAGTTGATTAGCTCCTCCAGTTCATCGGCGTGGACGACAATATGCAGGCCACACATTTGGGCAAGACGGAATTCCTTCCCATCTACACAAGCAAAACACACCTGGAAGAGCAGATAATCAAATAACTTATTTGATATAGGTGAGAAGACGTATACTTTACTGAGTATTTATCTTTTTTACTGGCAGTATTAGAAGGCTTAGTGTCAGATAAAGACAGGGAAAACTAGAAATGAGCATTTTGCTAGAACTAATCCGTCTCTTTACTATGCGAAAAGCAATTTTTAGGTAGAAAGAGTTCAACTGAAGCTGTTGGGCTTTTCCTCACCTCCTTCCAGGTGCGGGTGCTATTGGCTTTGCGGGCTCCATCCACAGCCGCCTGGTATTCTCCCAGGTGCACCAGAGTGGAGGCCAGACGGCCGAAATTGGACACGTTGTTGTAAAGCAGTTTAGCTGCCTCGTACATCTTGTCGTCATAGCAACGATCACCTACCTGAGGGAAGATGGACAGAAAAAGAAAGCAAGGTCAGCAAAGTGGCAACTGTAAATGAGAATTAAATGGTATGTGAGTGTGTGCTGCATGTCTGAGTGTTTCCTTGGACCTACTTGTTGAATGTGAGCATTGTTGGGCCCGTTGATAAACTCTTCCAGCTCAGCCAGGCGGTTGGTCTTGGCCAGGGCAAAGATTAGCTCTGTTTCTACGTACGACTCGCGGGCCTTCTTGCGGGCCATCTGCAGAAACTTTACAAGGTCCTCCCAGTTTCCTGCACCCAACAATTCACTTTCATTACTTTTAAGAACACATCAATCTACTATACACTTGACAAAACCTCAACAAAAAGTCTTCATGAGTTGAAAAAAAAAGGTAAGCACAAGCCCTTTACATCTAAGCAACAAGCTGCTTATATGATAAAGATCATCTTACCGCTTTGTGCGGCAGCTTGTCCGACCTCCATGTAAGCAGATGGGTCATCAGCCTTGATGTAGGAATCAATGGCTTCTTTGACCAGGCCCTTCTGAAGCTGGGCCTTTGCCAGCTGACTCCAAACTGGGGGCTCATTACAGCGCTCAGCAAATTCATAAGCTCTGTCCAGGTTACCAATGTGTTCAATCAGAACCTGGACACAAGACAACATTCAGATCACTGAAAATTAAGATTTACAACAAAAGGTCTTGTGGCTGTTACAATTTGAGTATAATGTAAGTGTAGGCTAATTAAAAAAAAACAAGCAAACATTTAATACACCTTTTTAAGGCCCGTTACAGTCAAGAAGGAACACACTCACCTGCACAGCAGAAGTGTTGACATCAAATTTCCTAAAAATTGCAAAGGCCTCCTCAAACAGTTCATTGCTGATGGCAATGTTTGCAATGTCTGGGGCATCGTAATTGTCCAAACGGTTAATGTACTCCATTACACGTGTCCGATCAGCTTTAATGGCTGTCAGAATAAGCAGATTCTGGAGGTTTCTGAAATAACCAAGACAAGAAGTTTTAGGTGAATGTCTTATAAAATACATATAACAATTTCAATTCTACATTTGGAATATTTTAACAGTTCAAGAAACTACAAAAAAGCAGTTTGTCAGTAAAAAGACAACTTGAAACAGTTGATGGACTTATGTCAAACACTTAAAAACAGTGGTTTCTGCTACTATCAAATGTGTTCCGAGTTTAGGAAATCACACATGCATCAGCTATCCAAAAACATTCGAGATATGCAGGTAAACCTCTCTTACCTGTGCTCACTAAATACGGAATTATCCAGAACAATCTTTTCCAGGAGCTCAATAAGCTCATTGGGGAGGTCGGCTGTCATGAAGGCCTTGACTGTGACAGACACCTCCTCTGGATCCTGGGTCTCTGATAAGGCTGTCTGGACAACCTACAGCAGACATGGACAAGAGACTTGATGCACTGCAGCTGATGTTTTAAATACATTAAAAAAAAACTAACCTGCATTTCAGTTTAACAAGACCTTAAAGTAACAGACAGATAAAAAGACAAAAGGAAAAATTAAAAGGATGAACTATCCTAAAAGGCATGGGAAGATTTGATTAAGTATACAGTATAAAGCAAACAGTGTTACAGGACTAACATAGAACTCACCTATATTTGTAATGTTGGTAACAATTTAAATAAATTAATTTATTTGTCATATTTCAGCATCCAAGATACCAAAGGGTCTGACCTGGTCAATGAGTGGTCTTCTGTAGTTGTTGGTCTCCAGCAGCACACTTGCCCACAGCTCAGGGTTCTTGCGACGTACAAGGTAGCGGGACAGACTCTTGAACAGTGAGTTCTCATTGCACACCTAAGACATAAACACAAAAAGAATTAACATGAGAGACAACAACAGTTCAGAAATATTATTAATTCATACAAATTAGAAAAATAACGACAACAACAAAAAAGACTCACAAGGCATGAAGCTTGTTACATTACAAATAACCCAGAATTTTGGCTTTAATGAAAAATGATTTCAGTTGAAACTCACATGAATGAGTTCCTGGTCACACTGTCCTCTTTCATAAGCCACACAAGCCAGGTGAGGGTCCCTTTTCTCACAGTACTTTCCCACCACACGGCTGTCATAAAAGGGGTTCTCCCTCAAAAAGCGCTCGGGGTTGTTGTTGCTGTCGATGTAGATCTTGGCTAAAGCGTTGTGGGTAGCAGGTTCCTCACAACCTTCATGAATACGAGCCTCTAACCAAGGCAGCAGCAACTTCAGTCTGGAAAGGGAGACACAGCAATGGTATCACAAGCTTACACATGAATTCAGGTGCTGACTCATGACATCAGGAACAGAAGAAACATCTTTCAAGGTATAAGACTATAGACTGTGGTAGATAATTGAGTGATTCCTCTGTTGCTACACTGTTTTAAGTAGTTCTTTCTTTCTTACCGATTTCTTTTCTCCACTTCAGCAACCAGTTCATCTGTGGAGAACTGTCCTCTCACCACCATGATCAGGTTCTTAATCACATCTTCGGCGCAGTCTACATCCAATAACCCTCCAATGACTACGGGCAGACGGCTTGGGTTCACCTGGAAGAAAGAGAACGAAAAAATTACAACATGCTGCCATTCAGGTAAACAAAAATTCACAACCATCCAAAACAAAAAAAAACTTGTGAGTAAGTGTAGTCGTATTTACTGTTCTGGGTCTAGTAATGTACCTTCTGCACGTAGATCTCAATGTATTTCTGCAGGCTGTTGCGGTACAGGTACAGGACCAGGTCATGAACAAAATCAAAGCGGTCGCACACAATGATTAAAGGCAGCTGGTCAGTGAGCTTAGCTTCCTGTTGAGAAAAAAATATTAAATGTCAAGAGCAGAAAATGTCTACATTTAGTCACCAACTGTCTGACTAGATAAATTAGAGGCAGAAAAGTCAATTTTACATATAAATGTTTACACTCCACTGTCCCTTTCTGACCTTGAGGAAGTTCTTCACACGTTCAGGGTCGTAGCAGTTGCTTTCTCTGCAGATTCTCTCCACCTCTTTGATTTGGCCTGTTTTGCAGGCAGCCTGGATATATTTGAAATGGACCTCTGGATCCTGGCTGAAGTTCACAATAGAGCCCAAGAAGTAGAACAAACCTAACAGACAAAAAAGGGAAAATTAGTAGAGAACATCTTTTAAAACTTGATGTTTTCTTAAAGTAAAAAGAAGAGGCAAGCTTGCTTGAATATTGGTACATTTCAAACTTACCCTCAAAGCTCTTGAATGACTCAAAAAGTTCAGTGAGGGACTGAGTAGTAAGCTGTTCATGGTACTTGGAAGCAACCTGCACACAGATCTGCAGGTTCTGGCGAATGTTAGCAGACAACATGGCCCTCAGACACTCCAGAGAGTCCTCCACAGAGAGAGAGCCAAAGAAATTCACCAACCACTGCAAAGAAAATTAGAAAACAGTAAGCAATACACATAAAGCGATCACAAGTCAAAACAAACAAATTTTTGGTTTGTGTTCAAAACAAACAGCTACACAGTCATGTTTAAAATTGCTGTTCGTGTAACTATTTTCTTTCTGCATCCTCCATCAATGTTGTACCTCTGGATTAAGAAGATGTGTGTGCACCACAGCACGTTTAATGTCATACAAGTCAGTATAATGTTCCAGCGCCCTCTGCAGGAGACCGGCCTTCTCACACAGCTGTGCCACATGAGCGCGATCATAGTGAGTGAACATCTGATTGCCCAGGATGGCATCTGCAACCTGCACAACATGACACATGTACAAAGACATTTCAACACTGCTTGAAGTTTTATCAACAGAAAATGTTGCGAATGAGGTAGAAAAAAATGACATTTTTAGTAAAAGCAAACATAATGAAACACACTTTTAAAAAGAAAGAAATCTAAAGGCCTAGTTTCAAATTGTATGGATTGAAAACAAAACACAAAGAATTGAAAAAAGAAAAAAACTATTTTTTAAATATGATGAAATTAACAGTCTGAAGGAATATCACTGAATCTACGGAGAACGCACAATGACAAATTTATAAATAAAAAATATTAATTTTTTGTTGACCAAACTTAACCATGGTAGAATGGTTTTGCTTTAGGTAAAACCAACAAACTGACTGCTCATTAGGAGTACGTTTTGGTAAAAATCAAATAATTAGTGCATCTTATGTATTGACATGGTTGACCTGTGGTGCGTGGACCAAATTCATTTCCAGCAGGCGTGTCTGCAGTGGTCCTTCCATGGGTCTGTTGTTCTTCAGGGCATCTAGTAGGAAGGATGTGCACTGCTGGATCAGGTTGTACTCCATGAACACATCAACAATCTGGAGAAACAAACAAAAGGAATTAACATGGATGTCAAACACTTAAACACTGTTTTTTTGGTTGTGTTTAAAATCAAATTTAAGGTTTGTATTCGATTTGTACTTTAGTTACTGACTGTAGAGCAATGGCCACTGCATAATTCTGCTTTTGAAGTGACAACTTCCAGGTCACAGGGTCACTCTTAAGACTACCTGTGCTGCAAGCATTGCAAGTGCAGTGCAAAAAAAAAAAAAAAAGTGGCTTTACCTGTGTAATGTCAGCAAGTGGCTCCTCATCCTGAACCAGCATCTGGGAGAACTGAAGGCCCTGCTCTGGACTGATCCGCATTACATTCCTTAGCAGAAAGATCCAGTCTGGAGTGTAGCCCACCTACAGGAATCCCAGATCTTTAAGGATACTAGGCCAACATATGAGGTGCCCTCTAGTTATAAGGGCACCATGTAAAAAAACCAACAACAAATGCACACAAAAGTAAAACACTGAATACAACAATCGCTCACTCATCTCTTGTTCTGTCTTAATTAAGAAAACATACAATTACCAAGTCAGTCATCACAAACCTTCTTAGCATAGAGGACAATCTTCTGAAACTGGCCAGTCTCTGCAAAGCACTGAATGACCTTATTGGGGACGTTGGCTCTGAGGTAGACACTGAGGGCAAGAGTAGGATCTACTGACTTCACCAAGTCTCCAAGCTCCTCGGAACATTCCAGCTGTAAACATACACGCAGACTGCCATTAAAATAAAATCAATCTAGTTCAGTACAAAGCAATTATGGAACCAGTAGGAGTAAATCAGGAAAATAGCATTTGCACGTAATTCTCAAGTATCTGCTCTGTGTGTGAATTAGTCACATTGAAACGATGAAGGCACCATACTGACTTTCAAATTTTCATTCCCACTATTTCACAAACATGCTCTATTAGACAAATATTTTAAAAATGCTGATTATTCTAATTTAAGAAGCACAAATCAGCAGTATAGTAACATTTGTAGAAGTGGAGGAGCCACCTAACTGACTACAACAATGACCTAAGATGTGCTTTATCTTCATGACACTTCAGTTTAGGCAAGAAAAATCAGTGTTTTATCCCTGCAAATCATAGATCTCTTGCTTTAGAATAAAATTTCAATTCTGTGGTTGAGTTAGTCAGTTCAACACTTATTTTCTAAAGACCAGATGCATTTCTGAAGACAATATTTTTACAGTATGACAGGTAAAAATGGAGGATTAAATATTAAATAATTCCTCTAAAAATAGGATGAAGATTGCCCATTATAAAGCTAACTGCTGGACACATACCTTGTCCTCCTTTAGCCATTTCTCTAGTAGCTGCTTGCGGCCCTGCTGAAGAACGGGTCTGCAAAGCTCCAAAGACTCAAACTTATTAAGCTGGCCCTGGTCCAGCAAAATGCCAAAGTATTGGAGCAAGGGAGACGTCTGGCCTGGTTGGGCTGGAACACTTTGGAACCTACGGATGGTGTCTGGGGTCCGTAGGATACCCTGAAGAACAGAGATGGGAATAAGTAGATTGCTTTTTGAAAACTTCATAGACTGCATCCCCAACTAATATGTTACTTTTATGTTTAAACTATTTTGATCATGGAAATCGAAACTTGTTCTACATCTACCCTTTGGTGTTTAATGGCATACTAAGCTACCAAAATCTGATTAGTCTCAACAGTCTGAGCTTGTATCTTATGTTCTTTGACCCCACTCCGAGTGCATGATGGCAGTACCTTGGGCGCATTGGCCGCCACCTTGGCAGCTTCTGAGTAATTCCCTGCTGCAAAGAGGGTGTTAAACTTGCGGGCAAACAGCTCCTCAGCACCGGCAAGGTTGTTTCGCACAGCCATGCGGAGAGCCAGGTCTGGGTTCTGGAGCACATTGGTGATGTAGGGAATGATGTTTTCCTCCTCCACGCACACTGACAACACCTGGAAAAGCACATTGGCATGCTTTCTTATCTGTACCCAACAGATGAAACCTTGTGGATGAGGTATTATTCCTGAAGGTAAAAATGTGCAGCATCACTGTAAATACAAAACATCAAAATGTTTTGTATTTTATACATCCAGCTGTTAAAAAAAAACAACCACAAATCATCATGCATGTAAGGGGTATCTCCCAACAAGCTGAACATTTCATAATTGTAATAGAGCATTGTTTCTCTTTCTACAGCCAGCTGGTTGGGTCTTTCAGATTCACTTAGGTACACATTTAAAATTTCATTTGTGGTTCTTTATGACAAGCTATTTGTCCCTTTTTTCCGCTCTTGGTGGTTACACAAATAACCGTAGCTCAAAGGTTTTTAGCTGTGGCTCAGCTGCTCCTGTCTGTAACTACAGTTTAATCCCTGCCCATTCATTTAGAACAGCAAACACATTGTCAAAGGTCTCCAACAAAACTGTTCACTTTGGAAAAGTTAACTGGCACGTTCCAATAAACAGAATTAAAATTTAAAGTGGCTATGATATAAAGTGATGTAAATATCCAAAAAGCATTTTTTAGCCAGAACACTAAAGTTATTCTGCTGCTCCATGCAGAACAAACTGTCTGAATGACCAGTGAACATGTATTTGACAAAGAAAATGTTGAACTTGGAATTTAAACCAGTTTTAAGTTCTCTGTACACACTTGAGCGCACAAAAATAGACTAAGTGAATTACAGCCTGTACTTGTCGCATTCCTAAATTACACATACGGATTACCCCACTGTTGTCGTGTGTGGTGTTACATTTCGCGTGTAAGTGTGTGTGTGTGTGCGTGTGCATGTGTGCGCAATACACTGAGCTGTGTACGGCAGACCCACAGGTGAGAGCCAAGAGCAATAACAGGATTAGATTGTGTAGTCTGCCTGGCCAAGCCTTGCCCTCCTGCTGTGACTGTCACATGCAGCCTGACACTGAAGATGCTGCTACAGCCTGATATTTTCACAGACATTCCCTCAGTCAAGGTCACACCCAAGGACCCAAGCTGATATACAAAAGAGCTGACATACCACAGTGAAAGTGAATCACCAACAATTGCCAGCAGTAACAGACAAGAATCTATTCTACATGCAAATATACCGATTTAGAAATGAATACTATAGGTTTATAACCTAAAAAGCTTGTATTTTTACATACTTATTTTATTACTTATTGTTATTTTCTTGTACTTTCTTTCTATATTTTTGGATGCTGCTGTGGCATGTAAATTTCTCCCAATGGAGGATCAACAAAAATTATTGTATTCTCTTCTATTACGTCTGTGTCCATACACGATAAAATTGTTTCAAACATTTTTTTTTTTTTAAACATATGTATTTTACAAATTAATTTAACATTGAAACTATAGTAAAGTTCATTGAAGCTACCACTGGTTTAATCTGTTACACATATCAAAACTCCACTAAAAATTTCACTCAACTGACCCTAATCAAACATGATATATCATCACTGACATATAAAGTTCTAGCTGTCAATTTGCAAAACACCCAAGAGCAAATGTTTATGATGAGCCTGTTTATTCCACTGGAAATGATTAAGCAGCTGACTCAAGTGTGCTAATGCAGTTGGTTTGATCGTACCAAAATGTACTAGCTCATCAAGTGATGTCATTTCTTCAGTCAGTTTGAATAAGAAGCAAGCAGAAAAATATCATTGTGCCTAACCGTCAGATCTTATTTCCTAGCATCTGTCAAACATCCATCCATCCATTATCTATACACTGCGTAATCCTCACTAGGGTCGCGGGGGGGCTGGAGTCTATCCCAGCTGGCTTAGGGCGAAGGTAGGGGACACCTTGGACAGGTCGCCTGTCTGTCGCAGGGCTACACTTATAGACAGACAACAAAGCACACTCACATTCACACCTATGGACAATTTAGAATCACCAATTAACCTCAACATGTATTTGGACTTGTAGGAGGACGCCGGAGAAACCGGAGAGAACCCACGTTGCACGGGGAAAACGTGCAAACTCCACGCACAAAGATCCCGGTGCCCCCAACGGGACGCGAACCGGCACCTTCTTGCTGCGAGGCAACAGTGCTAACCAACTGCGCCGCCTTGCAGCCCCATCTGTCAAACAATCTGTGACAATCAAAGCTTAATGCTACTATTCTAATATAGCTTCAATCTGATGACCCTGCTTTAGTACATTAACACAAACTACACTAATGATAAAAAGGGTGCAGATCAGAGTACCTGTCCTTTCCGGTTGACTCCAATGATACCAGCAGTAGGTTCATGAGGGGCTGTGACAAAAATAGTCTCCCCACTGATCCTGTTCATGTAGATACAAGTTCCAGTCTCAAGGTCATACAGGTGGATGTAGCCATATTTGGTGATGAGGAAGACCACATCTTGCTTGGAACTGATCTAGATGCACAGAAAGAAAAATTGGGTTATGAAGTGTAAAATAATAAGCAAAGAGCTCATTATCAAGACGCCCTTCACACTGAAGTAAAAGCTGATTTAGTATTGCCCGGCCCCAGTTCAATGTCATCCACTGAGGTGCAGTTAAAATGGCCTATTTAAAACGTGCAATTACCAATACTGTCAAACAGTTACTGAGTACTAGTTTAATAATTAAAAAAATTTGAACAGTGTTCAAATGACACCTTTCAATGTTGGGGTGATGACAGGGAGTAATGATATATGACTGAGTATAAAGTAGTTACTCGATGAATAGGGCATCTTTTTTTCAAATTAAGGCAAACAAGCAACGAGTACAGGCTCTACACATCACCTCATAAGTTGATTTTGTACCTGCATGGCAACAGGAAAGTCATTTTGCGCTTCTGGAGGAAAGAACACATCCACAGCTTTTTTTGGAAATGGTTGATTCCCAGTTGGTGGAGTCCCAACTTCAATGATATGGAGCTAGAAGCAAAAACACAGTAAGACAAAAGAAGACTAGTGAGGCTACAACATTCTACATTCTCTTAAACTGTTCTTATGAATCCCATGATTTCCACTTTTAAAGCAAGTCTACCCTGATGTCTCTATTTTTACAGTTGTGAGCCTAAAGGCTTTGACTGTTAGTAAATCTCACTTTTCCTCCAGCCTGTCCTCGCACAGCAAAGCAAAACAGAGTTGATTCCTCAGTGTTGCCCTCCATCTTGAACTGTGCAAAGCCGGCGGCATGCCCCTCAATAGGCTGAGACACCTTCCTGTCCACTGAATACAACTGCATGGCTCCGACAACACGGTTTTGCTGAGGAGAGAAAAACCCACAGGTTAGGCTTCAATCCAAAATGTTTTGTGTTTCATTGTCACACTAGGTTTTTTTGTTGTTGTTTATTTTATTGATTCTTTAACACCTCTGCTTCCAGCAACACCAAGACCATTGAAGTCTATGATAAAAATCAGCCGTTTCATAGCATAAACTCATCTTTTCATAACAAATACAAATATAACTGTACATCCCACACACTAAAGCATTTTGTACTGCACTTTATGGTAGGTAAACTATACAAGTAATTAATCACAAGAGAAGTTCTATTGTAGATTACTGAGAAAGTCAGAGAACATGTTTTATTCGTAAACCTTTGGACTGCTATTCCTCAATGCATTAGCTGTATGCTAAAACTGAGACATTATTATGTTGGAAACAATGTAGTTACGATTATCAGGATTAATGTTTTTTTTTTAAACACACAGTTAATTTACCTGTGCTGAAATGCCTATGAGCAGCAACCACTTCTGTTTGGCATCAGTGCGGTAGTTGATGATCTGGCAGCCTGCCAGGCTGGAGTGACGGTCAAAGACTTTGATTGGCTGAGAGTCACCTTCCATGCTCCAATGGTACACTGCGTTGTCTGTGACCAGGGCAACAGTGTTGAGGGAGATCCACTTCCAGAAGGTCACATCATCTGTCATCGTATGAGCCTTCATCTTGCTCTTCATCTCGATGTTAAAGATTTGCAGGGTCTTTGCGGCTGAAAATATTACCAGCCAAGGTTAATGCACAGTGTCACGGGTGAACAACGCAACACCTCCTTCATAAACTTTATGATAGTAACAGCAAAAAAAAAAAAGAAACTCATAGCAAAATCTGTTTAGTGACAAAGCTACGACACACAACTCACAGCAGACTTTGGGAATAAACATCATTTAGGCATACCTATTCTAATTCCTGGAGAAACATTGGTAGGCAGGGTTTGGTTTGAGTAACACTGACGGACCATACAAAAAGCCAGTACCAGTGTCAAAACAAGGTGCAAGACCAACAAAAGGGCAACCACTTAAATGGTGGATCTGCATTCAGTTATGTCTGATGCAATTAACGGTTAATGTGAAGCACATTCAGTTGCGGCTGAGTAAGCAACCCTTTTGTGATACTGTGAGCAGGAAATCTGAAATCATTACTCATCTACCAAATAGATTTTCAATTTGAGGAACTCAGACTGTGCTCAGACTGATTAGCACTGCATCAAAAACATGCAGCCCCTCATTCATTTCAGTGACGTCACCGTGTTGACACAGCAACGGAGGGCAACAAAAAAGCTGAACATGGCTCAACTTTTTCCACAATGCAAAGCAGCGTCATTAGGTGAGCCACAGCGTTGGCTAAATATGTGGGTACAGCCAAGGTAGAATAATTTGCAACGTCAATGGAGTATTGCTACTGTTGACCTTGCAATCAGCAGGATGGATAGCAAAACTCAGTATTGTCACTGATTATTTTCCAAACTTATAATATTCTGTCTCATGATAATAAATCTGCAGTGTCAGGTCTCATATAATCAGACCCAACACTTACATCATTGTTGGGTCTGGGATATATTAGTCAAATTGTTCTTCCCCTGATACAATTTCATCAACAGTACATTAGTATGTGTAAAAACACACCTGCATCAATTCAGCCTGTTGTACTTTTTTTGATGCAGTGCTGGAGTTTGTTTGGAGATATTGCAACTATGATGTCTGCAGTTCTCAACTGTATCAACAATGGATTCCCATGTTATTTTGGTACAACGACTTTTTTACTGATCTTTTTAACCAAAACCAGATCAATTAGGTATCGGTGTATCTACAGAAAAACATGGTGCCCGGTGCAAGTCAAAATTAGAATTTTATGGCCTGCGTCACCCTCCACCCCCACCAACTACTAGAGAAATGAAACTCCAGGCGTGTTGTTACAGCTCTTAAGGGATTCACATTGAAATTTAATCCTAAAATGAGGGATGTGGGAATTTGGGTTGGGTCTGAATGCAGATTAGCAAAAGAAGACCACAAAGCACACAAACAGATGTGATGATGAGAAAGATGCTGGACAGATGCATTCACACCCATTCTCTTTATTTCCTCCAGCTCAGTCTCACTGGGGGAAAGACATTACGATTGTTTGGGGCCAAGACATTTTTTATTTTTGATTCAATCTAACCCAAGCAAGCCTAAACTATTAATGCAGCATATAAATGGCAGTACAGTGACATTTCTGAATAAATACTTTGGTAATACTGTGTGTATAGTGCTTGTAAAATACACTACTTTCATTAAATACAATGAGCGGTTGTGAAGTGAAAAATCAAAAATGCAGTGAAGCAATATGAAATAATGCAGTTTTGTCCTTTAATCACCCTGACTTTTCAAATGGTGCCTGAAATATTAATTTATTTACCATGTACTTAAGCACAAGTTTTAGAAGCCAAATGACATTAATCCTTCAATATAATAGGAATGGTCAGTGGACACATTCAGAGTATAAAATGTGGAATCATACTTGTAATTCAAAGTCTGAAAATTTGCACAATTATTAGAAACCTGCAAGCAATGTTAAGGATTTGCAAGACAGGTTTTCAGCTAGCAGTGTAGAATAGAGGGAAGAAAGCACTGCATTTGGCTTTAATCTCTGCAGTGTCCTGGGGCTGGCCAGTCAAAACTGTACATGCACATTCAGCAGCACATTTACTTGATCTTTGAGACTGGTGTCACAAGTTCAATCCATGATCACAGTTGTTCACACAAACTTGAAGCTGCAACTGCTGTTGCAAATATGATACTGCTAAATCACAGTCGGAACTCATGTTTCACTATCATGCTGGAGGATGGATTAGGCTAATTAATAATTAACAGTATAATTGTGTGTGTGTAATAGAATACATTTAATCTTTTTCCTTTATTGGTCAGTTATTTTCATTAAATAATTATGTGCATTTCTATATATAATTTTTCTGTGCATTGTAAATGCCACAATATCTTCTTTGGCAGTATCAAAGGGGGCAACAAAGTGGAACTCTTCTGCATATGTTAAGTGTAAGAAAGCTTTGGAATATAGAACATAAAATGTATTACAATTCTGACTGCTGCCAGTTCTAGGTTAGAAAAACATTTACAAAAACAAAGCAGGAAGACAAACATTCTCCCCCCAGACTTTGCAAGTATACTTATTTTTATTTTTTTTAATTTTTATTTTTTAAATCTGTGTGAATGTACTGGTCTCTGTTTTCTGCTGCTATGTGTGCATATTTATAAATATTAAGAATATATTTGATTATAACATCACAAGCCAGTGACGCACAATTCTTATGAGAATAGGATCTACATCATACGGACATCCCTATAAGAGAGTCAGCACATAATGGCCTACTATTTATTCAGGACCAGCCTTTAAGTCACTGCTTGCTTGATTTTCACATTGTTTAAATGACCGTATCATTTTTTCTGCATGTTTTCGTCCTTTTACTACATACATATGTACTATACATTACTACCAACCATTTCCCAAGGCATGTAGCATTTCTGAATATTCACCAGATTGTTCTTTTGTTCCAAGGCCTCTTAGTCAGGGAAATTTTTCATTTCATTTATATAACATTTTTCCATCAAAGACAATTTTGTGGCTAAGATGTGGATTCTGATATGTGGGTGTCTTCAGGTTTTGACTGACAGCTTAAAATTGACACAGAAACTGTATCATAAAATGATGCAGTTTCTTTTTTTTTTGCTGATGTTTAATGATAAGGCAGACAGGTTTACGTGTTTTTGCCTTCAGTTTCGTTATCTGTGAGTCAATTTCTCTGAAGCTGTAAACACCTGCACAATGCATTCATCTATGTTCTTTAATTACGACACAACAATAATGTTTAAGGAAAAAAACACACGTGGGAATCATGTTCTTTGTAATTTATGCATTTTAAAAGCAAATTTTACATCAATAAGTGTTTTCATACTGTACTGCAATTAATAAAAAACCAAAGAATTTAAAAATCTGAAGTCCAGCATGTTTTGGAAAATGGTCAGCCGTGATATCAAATATATGTCCAGTGTAGCAAATGGGACAAACACACAAAACACAAAAAGGAAAAAAAGATACAGTCTTTTAAGATACAATCTTAATTTTTTATGCTCTGCTTGTGTGTTCATTCTAAATTCAAGCACTCACTTAAATTGCTTTCAGTACTGTGCAAACATTTCAAGACAGTGCATACAGGATCACTTTGACAACTCATGATATGTAAAATTCAACTCACCGTCTGCAAACATAAGAAAGCAGTAAGAAATGAAAAAAGAGCAAAAACAAGCAAAATAGACAAAGCATTCATGACAGCATGACATTTTTCTGTTACTACTTCTACGTTTCCTAAAAATATAAATGTGTCGTACATTTAAATGTGTTATACTATAATTAAGTTACTCTTTGTTTTCTGACAAACAGAAATGGGGTGGTCTACATATGAACATCAAAATGAAAAGCAGACTGTGACAGCTACATAACTGACTGACAACACAAACAAAAGTTACACAAATGGCCCAGTGTATTAGAGAAGCAAAATAGCAAGGTATGTGATCAGCCAAAATTTTAGCCGTTTACTGTATAGTCCATGTCCTTTCAGATACCTAGCACACTTGCTATGTGCTAACAGTGCTAGATGCATTGTAGTTAGAGCTTACCTTTGAGGGCAATAACTTTGCTGGCTGGGTTCATGATAGCGCTGTCGGCAGAGATGGGGCGACGGATGGGATTGTTGGGGTCAGCCATGTCAATGATGACAACCTGGGCCTGCTCACCCACTTTCTCCCTTATACAGATGAACTTGTCAGACTCCATGGTGAGAGTGCTGAATCCAATGTTGGCTGGGTTGATCCCCAAGTTCTGGAGCTGACATAGGAATACAAAATCGGTTTAAGAGGCATGACTTACACGGTTTAACACATTTTTCTTTTCCTTTGGCTGCTGTCCTTCCTGGGAAATGTTAAGAATGATAGTGTAGGTGCAGAACTGTTACTTTTTTTTTTAAGCCATTATCTTGCCAATGATTAGGGCTCATACTATATGGATGCAATGGGTATGCAGTCCGAGTCCCAGCCAGTTAAATCATTTTTGCATGCCCCTCCACTGCTCTGTTTCCTCGCATTTCTGATCTCGGTTTCTACTGCACCTATCTAATACAAGGTAAAATACTTGATATCCAATATTTTCCAGTTCATTGTGACCAATTGCTGCTGCCAATATGTGCGTGTTTTTTTTTCTAACACCTAACTGCAAGGGAAATCTGGTTTCTCCTGTGGTGGAATTAACATATCATTATTCCAACTCTCATGATGATGTTCCACTGTCAGATGCAGACGTCAAATACAATGCTTTTCAAATGTAGACACTCATTAGGAAAAACAAGAAACAAGACAACATTTTCAAAACTAAAAAGTGCACAAGTATTATCTACCTGTTAATGTTTAATTTGGCCTAAGGCCAATATTCAGTTTAAAGCCTTTATTGGCTAAAGATGATGTCAATATCATTGTGCATCCCTGCACAGAACCATTTCCAGTGGAACATGAAATGTATAAATGCATACAAATTACAACTACGACTGAACAATTAATTTCAAAATGAAATTGCAGTTTGAAACAATGCAATTAGCAAATTGCAAAGACTGCAGTTTAGAATGTATGCTATTCAAATGCATGTTGTGTAGAAGGTTTTACAAATTTCTGTCATTCTACTCTTGTAATAGTTAGGCTTTGGAAGGTTTCTCTTGTAGTAACGCTCTGTCACATTTTAAAGCAATTACACATTGATTACTGAACTAAACCTTAACAACTATTGCAAATCAAGTTGTAATTGCAGCATTTGTCAGAAAAAAAAAATCACAATTGGGACATTTTACCAAAATCATTCAGCCCTAATTACAACTGGGATAATGAACTTACACATCTAAGTGTCCCACAAGCAATATTTTCCCCTAAGCCCACTCATTGTGGACAGTATACCTTAAACTCAGATTCCCATTTATTAGGTACATATATGTAAACCTAATGCAGTCACATACATCAGTCCTCTAGTACATTCTGCTTTAATTGTGTTTATAATAAGTTTTGTTCAAACTGTACTGGGAGGTGTTAATTTATTGTATGCCCATTGTAGTAGACATTGTATTAGATTGCATTAGTTTGAGCTGGAAATACCTGATATACTGGGAATTGAGTGGCTATTGTTCTTTTGCAAAAAGGTCATTTAAGGTGGATGGGAGTGAAAATAGTTTGTGGGGTTCATTCTTTAGTTTGAGGTTCAGTGAGAAGTCAAAGCACATCTAACAAACCAATACAGTCAAAAGCTGGGATGTACCAGCTGAGCTTAAAGCTGATTGAACTCATCCATTCTACAATGATCTCTACAAAATATGTGAGAGCGAATGATCTTTGATTAAATAGGTGGACCACCTGGTTTACCCCGGACTGCGGGATGGGGAGGTGACAATACAGCCAGAAAACCCAGCAGAATAACCTCAGTCTCTTTTCAGCTGTAAAAAATGGCCTGTCAGTGACATAACCTTTCTGTATGACGTGAAATGGCACAGGGTCCAGTCACACTGCAGCTGACCGCGGTTTCACCAGCTGATAACTTTATGTGCATCGTTTTACACATGATCATTCGCGGGTCTGCACGGCAATAATATTACAGCTGCATTAAAGCAGCGAACCTAACGATGATCTATGATGATATCGAGGTCAGCAACTGAAATGTCTTGCGTGGCTACGACTAAATGACGTGACTCCAACATCCCTCACGACATACAATCGGTAACGAGCACCTGCACTAGCTATTAGCTAACCGAAATGTAGCCACGACACATCTAATGCTATAACCCCAGAAATAATCACTGAAGGTCAAGCAAATGTGTTAAACGTCAACTAGTTTCTCCCTCTGGTCGTCGCTGACAGCTAACGGCGGCTAACGTTGAGTCGACCGGGAAACAGCATCAATGTAATGAATGAGAGATGCTAGCCTCAAAAGCTAGCTGTTAGCTGTTGGCTAAACGGGGGAGGGGAGGTCATTCATTTGCTGCGGGTATTGACGTTAGCTTGGCTAGCAAGCTGTCAAACGATCGTTAAGCGGAGGAATCAACAAGTAGTGAAATTTTTCGAGTTTAAATAGATGTTAGAATTGCCCACATACCTGCAGGTGCTCCTGGAAGCGGATAGGGAGTATTTGAGCCATGGTTGTTTCCTTGAGCTTCTCGGGAGTCCTGAAATTCTAGCCGTGCAGCTAGCTAGCTCGGTAGTAGCACCGCGCTAGCTACGACCTCCTCAGTGTAGGTCGGAGCCAGTCGGTGAAAACGATAATACGATGAAAAAAAAAGACGATATGCTGCGTTGCTAGTCGTATTTTCGAAACCTGGTATCAGTAAAAATGTGAAATACGTCCCCCTTCTGCGTGTGCTTTCTGCACTGCATCGATGGATAGCAGCGGCTGATCTTCTGTCCAAAATCCGCAATGGCGGCGGAAACAGCTCAGAGCCTTCCTAGTCCCGGAAACATCCAGGGAGCTCTGGAAGGACACTGGCTCTGCCCGTGTGTGCGAACAATTTCAAGTTTTTCAGTGTCAACAAAACATTTTACCAAAATATTCAGTCTTTCTGCTCTTTGGAGCTCTATTCTGTGTTCCTTACAATGAACTCAAAATTCGGCTATGTACGCCTCCTCCGTAACAAATTGAAAACATTTTTTTTCAAAAAACGTCCCGTACAGCATATTTTTAAAATTTACTCCCAACTTTTAACCCTTCGCAGAAAATACGACAGTTCACAAAATAATAATAATAATAATAATAATAACAATAACAATAATAATAATAATAAATACATCCATGGTATTAACATTTTAAATACAAATCTTTATTTTATCAAATCTGCTCTAAACTGTAATTTTATTGAACGTGTCTGCACTTTTGTTCACTTAGTTTTAATTCCTTTTTTATTGCACATTTTATTATTTTACATAATTTACTTATCTTATGTCATTTTCTGCAGTTTCAGTTTTTTCTATCAAATATCTGTGTACTTTAACTCAACTTTGACTACATTATTTTGATTTGTATATTATCTTTCACGTGTTTTTATTTTTATTTAAAAAAAATTTTTAACCTGTAAAACACTTTAAATGAAGTCTGTGTATGAAAAGGTCTGTGTATGCTAATTTAACTTAATGGTGAAGATATTCTGCATATTTTCTATCTTCAATCTACAATTCAGTCATGAACCAGCTAAAAAAAATATTCTGATGTGGCAAATATCACTGTTGTTGTTTTCTACCCAGTTTCACAGAAGGCTCTAACTTAAAAAAAAATAAAAAAATAAAAATCTAAGTATATAAGTTTGGATCAAAGTGAAAAGAAGGAAGAAAATGTTAGGAGTCCAGATTCAAAGAACTTTTCCAACAGAATGTCTGTGTAGTTTCTCAGTAATCCATGTCGTCATAATCCAAGGAGCTTTACTCTTTTTGGTTCTTGTGACGATGTCCAGCTGCTTTTCACTGCTCAAGTTTACAACACAATGCAAAAGATGACTCAAGACAAAGAAATGCATTTCAAGAAGCAGCTGTATTCGACTATAAAGGCATTTCTAATCCAGTGTCTCTAAGCTGATTTCTTTATATTTCAGTGTAAAAAGCCTAGATTCTATTAGAAAAAAGAAACAGTAAACCCAAAATAACATTTCATAAGAAAACAATCAATGAAAAAAAAAGGAAAAATTAAATCCCCATTCACCAGTCATTTCAATTAAAATAGAAACACCATTTCATTTTTGCTAACATTTTCCCTCAAAACAAATATATATATTTCCTTATATATATATATTTATATATTTATATTTATATATTTATTCTCAAGGCAGTTGGTCATGGCCAAATTAATTGACCTCATCATGGCCATTTTTCATGTTTCAAAATTAGAAAACACAGCTAGAATGGAAGAAAACAACATGCGGAAGCACAGTGTACAATAGGACCACTGCACTCGCCAACAAATAATATCTCATTTTGAGTGAGAGGGAATAGTCTATCAAGGCAGTGTGGCACGCAGACACACTTCCTCTGGAACAAGTGCAATGCAAAGAGAATACATTTCTCACACATCATAAAACTACAACACACTCCTCTTTCACAGCACTCAGGTTGTCCATCAGATTCCCTTTGCTTGTCTCCTCTTCCTCTAACATCTCTACTTTGCAGCAGTGAAGGCTTGTGTTGTGCTGTTTGAGTTCTTAGTCATTGGTGGGAGCTCAAAGTCCACTTGACAGAGATACACTGCAGTAGTGAGGGAGTTGGGTTCTCTGATCCATCCTCCATATCGTTGGTTTTCCACCTCCAACTACCATAAGAGACGATAACCTACCAGCAGATGTCTGAACAATTTTTGCCAACTGAGGAGGAGAGAGAAATGATCCCAGCATGCCAGCATCTTGCTATTACAGTTAAAATATGACTCATACACTGTCCCTGAATACTGAAGACTGCACTACCAGTAAATGGTGCGTCTGATAGCAGAAGGGAGAGGACACAAGTAGCAGGATTTCTGCAGCAAAAAGGGTTATGATGACAAACTGCAAGAGCATTTGTAGCTGTAGCTGTGTGTCTGAATTGGTTCAGATGAACAGAACACATGGAGGACACGAGAGGACGGGATGACTGAACAGGGGAGAGATGGTGCATATGGGATCACCGCAGCAGTATTTGTGAGTGATCATCGACGGTGCCGGATGGCGACGTGAGGGGGTTCCCTGGGTTACCATTTACATGAAGTGAATATGCATGTTGTACAAATAAGCAAGCATGTTCACATGTGTTTGCGTAAGAGAGATAGAGAAAAGAGAAAATGTGTAGGAGAAAAAGAGAAATCCCTGGGCTACATAAGAGGGCGCAGTGGAGGAGAGGTCTCGACGGGCCTCAACCACCTCCATCTATCACATCCCTCCATTACACCTGACACTCAGCAGAACTATGTGCTTCTCTTTTGAAGCTCCTGAATAAAGGCTGCAAAAGGAGAGAAGAGAAACAAGCATTAAGTCCCTGAAATTCTTAACTGAAACAGCATTAACATTTTGACAGTACAAAGTAATCTTACCTCCAATAATTTCCTCTTTGACTTTTTGTAGTTCTTTCCGCACTTCTTCCAAGATTTCCTGCAGAAAAATTGACAGTGTTAAAGAACGTGTTTACATGTGCTGTAGTAACTTGGTTACTGCAAATCTTTATACATATGCAGCAGGCTGAAAATCGGATTTGCAGATTGTGTTTGCAGTCAACATTTAAACAACTAACTTTTGCTGGTTTCTACTCCATTGCGTTTTTGATGCCGTGTTTGCGTGGTTACACATTGTTTATTTGAAGATTTAAAAAAAAAAAATATATATATATATATATATATATATACATGTTGAGAGGGAGACATCCACTTTTACATCGTATAAGGCTTATATGTCTCTCTTTTTGTCAGGAAGCCCTGTCCCTGACGTCATTCCTTTTGGTCAAGGATGCACAATACTTGATGGAAAGAAATTCACCTGTTTCATTTTCTCTAAATCTGAGTCATCCAGTCCACCTGCATCATTATTGTTGCTTGCACCCTTCGCTCTGTAAGAAACCAAAAGACAAAAAGAAAAAATTTAGGTCTGCATTTTGCAAAAAGGCACTGCACTGACAGGAAAACTATCAATCAAGTTCTACACCATAATACAAGAGAAATTAAGGAAAACTGAATAGTTAATGCAAAATACACACCCAGAGATTCAATTGAGGTTAAGCTGATACTGAAATATCAATACTTCCAATAGAGACGTTTCTGTTCTCGGTTTAATTCTGCTATTACAAAACTGATACCAAAAGAGCAATTTGGGGTAAACAAGTATTTTATCATCATCAGGGGACACAGTTGAAAGTATGTCACCAGCAGGATCTGTTCTAAGTAAGACCCGGCTGACAGGAAGTTCTCCTTCCACCTGTCAGTCATATGCAAACTAAAGCTCCACAGAAGCGTGAGTCACTGAAGTGGGTCTGAAGAAGACAAGAAAGGTGCAAGACAGATTTCTATCACTGAGCCTTTTGGCAATGACAGGTAATATCCAGGTACAGGCATAGAGGTTGTGTAGCTATAGCAACATTCATTCTCTGGTTTCCTTGTATATAGGCTTCATTTTGTGTGTAGATGCTTTAACAACAGGAGTTGCCTGCATTCTTAAAACTATAGATTGCAAATTGATACAAATAAATATGCCAGCAAAATAAACAAATGTGGCTGTGAAGTAAGTATTGGAATACATAAATGCAACCATATATTGCAATATAAAGACTAGGACTCAAAATTTTCAGTTCAGCTTTGAAAATACAGTGTTTCTTTATTGCACTATTATATATAAATACATATGTATACTATTATTTTTAAACGCCTGTGATGCTGAAATGGCTGTTATACTGCTGAAACTCAGTACATTTTAACGACACTCACATATCCATTTGAAATGATTTGTTCTGTATGCAACAAGCAGCCTACTAAATGTATGAGCTGTCAACGATGTTTACTGACAGAGTTTCATTTGCTTTGACTGACAGCTGACAGATTGACTCATTTATACATGTATTGTGGAATATATACATGTATAATGTGGACAATTTTTATTCAGCACAGCATTATTTATAAAACAACACAGCTATGTCAATTCCTCCTCCTTTCTCCTTTTTATTCAAATTTTTTGAACACATTAAGCTTGTGTACACAAGAAATATCTGTATTGGTATCAGAGATACCAGCCTGGGTTTTTATTTTGTATTGGGTCAGAAAGGAAATCAGTGGTATCACACATCACTACTGGAAACATGGTAATGTTTTTTTTTTTTTTTTTGCATACGTCTACAGTATATACTGGTTGGGGTTTATCCACTGCAGCTTAACCACAGTATACAGACAAGCTAAACCAGCAAAGCCAGAGATGAGTGTCAGAGGGTGACATAGTTCACCACGAAAATACAACACCCAAACAAACCATGAGAACTGGTGTAAAAATAACAGATATTCACAATACCAGCCATTCTTATCACTCAGTTTTTAGATATAACACATTCATCTGGTACATCTTCAAGTCCCTTGGGTGCATGCTATTCTCTGATCCATTAGATGGTGCTATCATCTGCAGAATATGCTACCCCAATATGTAGGTTGCAGTGAAGCTGTGCTAGCATGAGAGGAAAAAGCAAAGCAAGGGGAGTTAAGGTCATGAGTGAACGGGACAGCATGTATACCTGGAACTTTGAGACAATGAGGGAGTGGAGTCCATGCTCTTGGGGATGGAGTTATTCCTGTTAGTGAGACACACATACTCTCCTCTTAGAATGAAAATGGACAACATTCACGCACAAAAGCACACTTGTGCACTGGCGAACATAGGTGAACACTTGGTCACATAAATGCACACGCACTGATGGAGAACTGCTTGGAGGGTGAGTTCAAACGCGAGACAGCTGGGGTTTACAGATTTACTGATGACAAATAATGAATTGAATGTAGGGTTACCTGGTCATAGACTGCTTCTCCCACGGTCTTCTCACTGGGTCTGAGGGAGAATGTTTAAAACATGAGTTTCTCATTTTTCACTTTGTACTTTACATTAATTTCAAATCAGAATGAATGTAGGTTGTGCTACCAATAAAATTGTTTAGTTCTCACCGCTTTGACCTTGAGGCTCTGAATCATCCTGCAGAGAAAAGATCAGGGGCTTCTCTTAAAATGAGTCATCCTTAATCTATTTCTATTTTTTAAGCTAGCTATCCATCATCTACAGTATTTTGTTCCATGTTTTAAAAAAACAACAAAACAGAACAGTGTATGTTTGGTGTCACTTAAAAATGACGTGACAAAAAGCAGACCCTTACATTGTCTTGTGTCTTCACAGGTGGCTTCTCTCCAGTGTCTGCAGCTTTTCTCCTGATACATAAAAGGACCACTTTAAGTTGTGACATATATGTTAAGTAGACTAGGAATTTTTTAGAGTTAGTTTAAAACGACGTGTAATGAATTTAAAATATAATTATCACTCAAAGAGGCAATAGGGCGTAAATTAAGAAACATTTTATGGGTATTGGATATGTAATGTGATGGCAAACTTGTAATGTCACCCACCTTCTTGCTAAGATGGCACTCATTTCACCCATCAAACCTCCTCCTCCTCCTCCTCCTCCTCCTCCACCTCCTCCTCCAATGGAGGAGTTGCTGCTGCGGCTGGAGTCAGTTTTGCCTGCTGCAGGGGTTCCATCCTCCTGCTGAGGGCAGCAAATAACAAAAACACAGACGGTGGTGTCATAGCTTTGCAAGTCTGAACTAAGCCTAGATCAATACAACAGCAGAACACTATTTGCATAATCAGAAAAGCACATAATGGCTTCAGCGATTATCCATTATGTTAATCTTGCCTTCAAACAGCTGCAAAGTAAAAACAGTATGTTCAAAATCTAAAATTTGATACATACTCACCTTGGATACTTTACGGAGTTTAGCTCCTGCCAGGGCTGCTGCCAAGCCCCCAGCTCCTCCGAGCCCACCACCACCGCCGCCGCCACCGCCGCCGCCATCACCTCCTGCAGAGGGCAAGGGTGGGGCTGGTGGAGGTCCTGCCGGAGGTGGTCCAGGAGGAGGAGGGATGCCAGCAGCTGGGGGAGGGCCAGGGGGTGGAGGAGGAGCCGGTGGAGGAGGAGGGCCTCCAGGGGCCATTGGTGGGGCTGGAGGAGGAGGGACTAAAGACAGAAGGGATCATCACTAATTATTCAAATACAACGAGAATCAAGATGCATACCTGCGCCAGTGTGATGCAGGTAAAGCACAATTTACATTTCTATATCCCTGTGTGACTTTGCATGTGGACACGAAGATGGTGCCATTCATATTACAATAAATACTAGAGGTAGGTGATGGTCTGCTGCACGGACGGTCATGTTGCCCCCACACTGAACACAGAAAAAGACACAGCTCCCCTGCTAATGTCGCAAAGATACTGTGACTCTGCACTTTTCACTAGACATAGCAGCTAGTTACATACACACATGGACAAAATTGTTGGTACCCCTCGGTTAATGAAAGAAAAACCCACAATGGTCACAGAAATAACTTGAACCTGACAAAAGTAATACTAAATAAAAATTCAATGAAAATTAACAAATGACAATGGCATTTGAATCGTGATTTAACGGAATGATTTAAAAAAAATAAACTCATGAAACAGGCCTGGACAAAAATGATGGTACCCTTAACTTAATATTTTGTTGCACAACCTTTTGAGGCAATCACTGCAATCAAACGATTTCTCTAACTGTCAATGAGACTTCTGCACCTCTCAGCAGGTATTTTGGTCCACTCCTCATGAGCAGACTGCGACCAGTTGTCTCAGGTTTGAAGGGTGCCTTCTCCTGACGGCATGTTTCAGCTGCTTCCACAGATGTTCAATAGGATTTAGATCAGGGCTCACAGAAGGACACTTCAGAATAGTCCAATGTCTTCCTCTTAGCCATTCTTGGACGTTTTTAGCTGTGTGGTTTGGGTCATTATCCTGTTGCAAGACCCATGACCTGCGACTGAGACCAAGCTTTCCGACACTGGGCAGCACATTTCTCTCTAGAATACCTTGATAGTCTTGAGATTTCATTGTACCCTGCACAGATTCAAGACACCCTGTGCCAGATGCAGCAAAGCAGCCCCAGATCATAACAGAGCCTCCTCCATGTTCCACAGTAGGGACAGTGTTGTTTTCTTGATATGTTTCATTTTCGGTCTGTGAACATAGAGCTGATGTGCCTTGCCAAAAAGTTCCAGTTTTGTCTCGTCTGTCCAGAGGACATTCTCCCAGAAGCTTTGTGGCTTGTCAACATGCAGTTTGGCAAATTCCAGTCTGGCTTTTTTATGATTTGTTTTCAACAATGGTGTCCTCCTTGGTCGGCTCCCATGAAGTCCACTTTGGCTCAAACAACGACGGATGGTGCCATCTGACACTGATGTTCCTTGACCTTGGAGTTCACCTTTAATGTCTGTAGAGGTTGTTCTGGGCTTTTTTTGTTACCATTCGTATTATCCGTCTCTTTGATTTGTCATCAATTTTCCTCCTGTGGCCACATCCAGGGAGGTTGTCTACCGTCTCATGAATCTTAGATTTCTGAAAAATATGTGTAACTGCAGTCACAGGAACATCAAGCTGCTTGGAGATGGTCTCATATCCTTTACCTTTAACATGCTTGTCTATAACTTTTCTCTCTAAACTCCTGAGACAACTCTCTCCTTGGCTTTTTTCTAGGGGTACCATCATTTTTGTCCAGGCCTGTTTCATGAGTTAAAAAACAAACTCTGTTGAACCACGGTTCAAAAGCAATGTCTGATTCTCATTGCTTAATTTTCATTGAATTTTTATTTAGTATTACTTTTGTCAGATTCAAGTTATTTCTATGACCATTGTGAGTTTTTCTTTTATTAACCGATGGATACCAACAATTTTGTCCACGTGTGTATTTGGCTGTATCACAATGTCAATGATTACTCCTGAGCTGTGCAATAGAATAGCCTGCTGCTGGAGTTTGTTGCCTTCTCATCCCAAGCACAGTGGGTGGTCATAGTGCAGGATCTACAGAGAACGTCGAACTTCTTATTGTGTATGGAAGGGAAAAAGAAAGTACATACAAATTAGGGCCGGACCTGTATAGCCGAATAGCTGACTATTCGTTTGCTGTGCTGGAATCGGGATATCAGTCTTGATCTCCGAATATCCCCCCCACCCCACCACCGCCACCAATGGCGGATACAGTATGGTGACTGCTGATGGCGGAAACGCCTGCTCACTGCTGCCCCATCGGACCGAATGCTCAGCACCCCCCCACCCCCGCCACGGAAACGGTGCCGTGACCGCTAACATAAACACCCAAACTGGTCTTCGTAGCCAAATGCTGCCTGTGCGTCCCGCCCACTTCCAGCCCATCGGAACGAGTACCCACCCGCCACCACATCACGTGAACTCATGAATTGGCAGGTGGTAAAATCTAAAACAGGGGTCCGAGATCACCACAGATGATCAAGCAGAGCGTCTGGGCTCAAAGACAGGTTGCATCAAAATTTTTAAGGGAGGTATCCACTTGTTATAATCACAGTGCTGCTCTGACCCATGTCTACACACCAATGTCAGGAAACAGGGCAGAGTAGTTCCACAGACCAATACAGCTTTTTTGAATGAAGTTAAAAAACAGTGGTGGTACCATAGCTTGTCTTTGTCGTTGTTGGTGACACATCTCTGCTAATGCTAATGTTCTAAATATACATTGCATATATTCTAAATATACATTGCAGCACTACAAATCACTAGGTTTTTATTACAGTCTGATAAGCCTCAAAATGGGCATCATACAGTCTGACACAGATTTGTGACTGAGACATTTTAATAGACGCCATCTCACAGTTTAAAGTGAGGAAATTCAGAGTATGCTTCTTAGGCAACCCAGGGGTGTACAATTACCTAAGAAAATAATGAAATATGATGAAAACTACGATGACTGAACTGCATTGTAGATAAGTTATGTTGACCAGCCCAGGTGTTTCCTGACCTGCAGCAGCTTGTCTTTCTCTCTCCAGTCTTTCTCTTTCCTGCCGCTCCCGCTCCTGTCTTTCCCTCTCCTGTCGCTCCCGTTCCTGCTGTTCCTGCCTCTGCTGTTCCAACCTGTGTACAAACAAACACATCTGTTATCATTACATGTAAACAGGCTCAAAACTAAGTAGTGGATTATGACAGCAGAAGGTTTAAGCTAAAAGTTATCATAATTAATATAAATCCGTAAAAACACTTAAGCTCAGCTTCATCTTATTATTTAAGTGTCATAATAAGCAGCTACACCCAATTAACGTTTAAATATCCTTTAGAGTATTCGATTGCTTATGCACAAAACAACTAAGTCTAATTACAATATAAAGCATTTGGTGGGGAAAAAAAATCAGGATTTGCGTTTAAAATACTGAAGTCGGTGAAAGGATGAAAGGTTGATTTCTCCACATCTGATTAGCCTACCACTGAAAAAGTCCACAGCTGGAAAAGGCAGCCTAATACAAGCCACCTCAGCTCGCTACTGCTCCCTCCCCTCTCCCCCAACACATCTGCCACTCACAACAGCTGTATACAGAACAGCACAATGTACACATACCCTCACAGGTCCACACTAATAAACACAATTACACGCACAAACCCAGAGTTTCTGGGATTTAAAATGATGTCCAGTAAAGGAAGAGTGGCGATCATATTGGTCTTTTACTTTTTTTCCATAACCTTTAAATTCCAATTAATAAAAACCATTAATACAAATACCATCCACAAACACCTGCATCTACACTGGATTCCAAAGGTTTATTCAAAGCTCGCTAAGCCACAGCATGCCAGCAGCAAATGGGATATCTAGTTACTTGACAGGCAGTCCCTACGGCCAATCACAAAGCCTCTCCTACAATGCAGTATATCACCCTTTAGTCTAAAATGGGATTAAAAGGTTAATGCCCAGTCTAATGCAGGCATGCATGGAGTCACAACACTGGGTCTTGCTGAAGGAACAGATAAATGGATGGAGAGAAGGTGGAGCTGATGTTAGAGGCGTCCACCTTGCTGGCTTTTTAACCTTTAACCTACAGAGGCTGACTGAGGGTTTAGCAGTGTCAGGCTAATGCCATCAAATCCTCTACATATGCGTGTGTGCAAAACTGTGCCAACTGGACTACCGCAAAGCCAAGACAGCTTGATTTGCTATTGATTGTTATGCAACTAAACCCACTGGATAGCTTGCTTCTGTTAGAAACATTAAACTTCACATGGCCCCACTGTGCACCACACTAGATTCAGTGGTTAAACTACTTTTTTATTGTTTAACATCGACACTGCTGATCTGTTGAACTTGCTGATCTAAATTCAGTCTGAAAACTCAATACACATCTAGCAATGTTGTCAGCTAAAGACGCCACATGTTTGCAGAATCAGGCCAGAAAGACAGACAACAAGAATGCCAATTAAAGGAGGTGAGCGTTTTTTTGGAATTACTAGAGTAAAATAAAGGTGAATTGAATATTAAGGGAGTCTGAAGGTACCTTCGCTGCTGTTCGAGTTCTTCTGGAGAAGGTCCATTTGAAACTGGGCGGGGGAGGGTTGCATAACCTGTCAAAACACAAAGCACAGAAAACAAAACTCATATAAATGAAAAATATTTTACAATATTGATTAGATGGCGCTATCAGTGGCTAGACTTGCTCTTGAACAACTCCTCAATGAACTGTATCTATATGTTTTTATTGATGTACACACCTTTTCTATCTGAAAGTGTACAAAGTCTGTGGACAGCGCAGATATCCATGATGTGATGAAGGGACTAAAAAAGGGTGGAGTACACCAATCAACGTTTTACAGTACAGTATTTTTTTCTGATTTGTTCATTATGCAGCAGCACAAAATATGTAAAAGATGTGACTGAAATAAGCAGCTGGTGTAAACAAACCCTGAAAAAAATCCCACTATAAATCAGATAAACCATGGACAATTAAGAAAAAGCACTGTGCACAGTGTGAAAAACATATCTCCAAGCACATTTTTGTTCTATGAAAAAGAGAGTTAATGCTACAGAAAACAAGTTTCCAACAGCTGAGACATGGATTATAGCAGAACAGGTCACAAACAGGTCACATGGGGGGAGAATAACAGTGGAGAAGGGAATAAGCAGGGATTAATATTACCCTAGAAAACCTTTTTTATACTTACTTTATATATCTTTATTATTGTCAGGAGCTTGTCCGGTCTGTTTTCTAGTCGCTGTCATGTTTATTTAGTAATATTATAGTGCAATGTCAAAATGTAAAGCTTTTTGTGGACCTCAGAAAAAATAGCCGCTACAATGTAAAGCTTAGCTCATACACTCAACTAAAACTTAATATGTAATCTGAGTAACCAGATTTACATTTAATTAAAGCTGCATGTTTAACAGCAAAAAAAAACAAATGGTATCAATTTTGAATCATACTGTGAAAGCCCAAACAGAGACCCAGTACTGCAGTTTTTAAAACACACAAGACAAAACAAAGACACAACAGGATGGGCCTTGCCAATGCATCATGTTTTCTCACTGTCTCAGCGAAACTAATTTGCTTTTCTTGAGTCTTGGTAAATCATGTTTGCTGTTAAACTGGACGCACGTTCCAGGAACTCTGCTCTAAATACATAAGCATTCCCCTAATGCTGTGCAAGAAAATAATCTGCTCAAACTAAAGGTTAAAACTAGTAATCAGGATATATCAGTTGGCTGAGAGTACACTGATATTTACCAAGCTACTGATGTGCAGGTTGCACATTTACGATCCTATCTATAATTTACAAGGATGCACTTCTTTTACAACTTGTGCAAACATTAAGCCAGTCACAGTGCCGTTTCTTCTTTGGGTCAATAAAATAAAAAATATACAATCCTAGTATTGCATAATTGCCATTTCCTGAGGTTGCCAATAAGTGGTAAACATGAAAAAAAAATCCATGAAGCGGCTACAGATGCTAATGTAACACGGAGGCTAGTGAGAACTCTTTACCTGCATCTGCCATTGAGCCGAGAACTTCCAGAGCATGAGCCATGCCGTTGGCAAATAGAGCAGCATCCTCCTTGCTGCCAAAGTTGAGCCCCCACACCTGCCGGGCATCCCGCCACTGGTGAAAATTGGGTGTGGCCTGGTTATACTTGAGACCTCTTGCGATTGGACAGTTTATTACCACCTGAGGGAAAAGGAGAACAGACGATGAGTCAACAAGGATCCTTATGACAGAGATGGTGAGCCAAAATGGTGGTGGTTCTAAAGATTTAAGAGAAGTGAAATGGGTACACAGGAGATGGAAAAGCATTTCCAAAAATTTAAGAGATTCCTGCACACTGTCCAACTTGCAAAAATACACTTATTTGTGACATTTCTGTCCTTGATCTTCATCAGGCAACTGGTTTGATAAAAAGAAAAAACTGCAAAAAAAAGGAATGGCTGCAACTCCACAGCTAATAAACTTACCCTTTTAACCATTTTAAGGTTCATATTTTAAAATATCAAACCAAATTCAAACCAGGTGTTTAGATCTTTAAATACCCCAAACTGGAAAAAATACAAAAACAAACAAAAAAAACAAACAAAAACACAGGGCAGCTTATGGGAGTTGTAACCTTCATTACAAAACTGGAAAAACTATTAAAGGACTCTGCAAACCTACATCCCTGCTTTTGTCTAAATGATGGTGTTTGCTTTGTTTTTTTATGGATTATCCTGGTTTATATTCCACCCAGCAGGTGGCGTGACGCCTATGAACCAGGGAAAAAAATGTTATGGGTTTGCTTGAATGTGCTGACACGCCATTTCACTATTTGTTTAACAGCCTCTGGATTCCACAGAGCAGAGGGGAGGAGAGGAGACCCTGTCAGAGCGACTATCATAGGGGGGCAACATGCACTGAAAAGAGGGGGTAGCAAGTTCAGCTGCTACTGCAGACAGTGGTATTTTCCAAAACTCATCTCAGTCAGGATAAAAGACAAGACAGAATGAGAATGTGACCACAACCACTTACAGAATCATGATAAAAGGAGGAGTGTTGGTATTTTGAAAGTCTAAGTCGCAGCATGTTTAAAAAGCCTCAATGCCACAGGAAAACCTTAATACCATGGTTCCACTTGTGTTTCTAGTGCTGTTGAAATCATCCAGTCACACCAGGATGGATAAAACTAATTGAAAACACAAGTGTGACAACAAAAAAGCATTACTCTGCAGACAGTCAGAGATAGAGTAGGTAGAAAAGGGGGAGAACATGTAGGGAGAGAAAAAACACATCCACACTCTATTCTCATTTGCTCCCTGCTGCTCTAAACCCAGCAGCATGTCTCCATCAGGCACTAATATAGAGTTCTTATTGGGTATCAGGCTTCTTCCCAAATTGTCACAGGAAATGGTTGAACAGACTGACTATCTCACAGGAAACATCATCCACTTTAAGAGCTGTCTCCAGGGAACACTTCAGAGTGCTGAATGTTTAAAGAATGAGAGAGACACTGAAGCAGCCCGGAGGAGAGGGGTGTAGTCATGAATAGACCCACCCAAACTCAGTTTACTCAGCTTTTTCACTCGGAAACTGCCCACCTTTATCTGGTGATAACGACAAGAAAACCTCTTTGTTCTCATTCTCGTATGGCTTTACAAGGCGTCCTCACTATGCCAACGTCATGCCTAAAAGGAATACTAAGAATGGCACAAAATTAGCTTTAGGTCTAAGAGTGCTGATTTGTATTCCATAGGAGTTGCTAAAAGGGGTTCAGCAACAATAGGCACATTATGTCTAGTCTGTGGTGTGCCTGAACAGGTCTTGTTTTTTGGACGAAATAAAATTTAAACAAGCTTACATTCAAAATGCAGCAACCTGAGCCATTTTATAACGAACTAAACAAGTACAAGGAAGAAATATATAAGGAGAGTTTGGCTAAATAGCTGAAGAGTACTACAGAGTGAAAAAACACAAACACAGAAAATCATCAAAGCATCAAGCTCGTCTATGTTTGGTTTCCAGCTTCCTCTCACAACATTTGTTCTTGATATGTTCAATCTTTCCCAAGACTGACAAACCAAACAACTGTGTTTTCAAGTTAATAAATGTATAGCATGGGAGAGACAATAAATCCAATGCACCTTATCCTCTTTAACTTGCTCCTTCCCAAACATCTAGATTTATGATCAAATGAGATAAACCAGTACAGGTAACGTGCATCTCCCTTTGCTGAACCTGTGAAACTGAGATCCGATATAATAGTTCAGTCGGTCACGAGTTTATTATAACACCAGTGTCGGTTGGTCTTGCACTAAATGTCTTGTTGGTACGCGGTCCTAGTAGAACTATCACAGTATATGCAAAGAATATTCTCCACAAAATCAGCCTAAAGCCTTAGTGTCTCTTATCATAGACTAATAATGTGAATGAATGGGCATTTACAAATATAGACTGTCTCACACTTGATTACTCAAACACCCGTAAGCACCACAGACAGACGCCTACGGGCCACATGACAGACACAGATGAGCCACACACACACACACACACGCACGCACCCACACACACCTACACACACACGCACACACACACACACAACTCACACTCCCACAGACAAAATCTCACAAACACACCAAACACACACAGTCTGTAAGACACATAGTCAGCCCAAAGCTGGCAGCTGTACCTGCTGGTCTGACTGCATCTTGCGTCCCACTATCCTGAAGGCATTGTTGGTGGGGTTGTGATAGATCTGGACTCTGCTGAAGGTCTGGGGTCCAGTGCCTGCCGGAAGCCACTTCTTATTGGCATCGTCATAGACCATCACAGTGGCCCGAGCCTGGCAAATACTCGACTCACTGAAAGACAGAGGACAGGACAAAAAAAAAGACAAAATTAATTTACAGGACAGTTTAGGTGAGTCTTGAGAGTATGAAGATCTAACTAGTGGTGCAGTTAATAAAGACTGTTTTGCTTGGCGCTAGAAGACATGCCTCACATTAAAAGTACTCTCCATTTAAACCACAATCGTGTGTGGTCGCAGCTGCAACCTCAGCGACAAACAATCTTTATGAACACTACCACAAACATATGTCACTTATTGATCTGATGACAGCTATGGAGATCTACTGTATACTGACAGTAGATCTTCATGATTGTATGTATGGATATCAGAAGAACTTCAGTTCTAAGTCACTACTTGTTATTCTGGGGTATCACAGATGCTAAACCACAGATAGATATATTTGTGCCACAGATATGGGAAACACTACATAATAATAATACCATATGGAATGGCAGTGGCAGTTCCACTGTGACTTGGGAGGGGGAAAAAAAACATCTGGAGTCTTGTGCAGAGATATTTTGAGTGTCTTGGAATACAAAGAAAAAAACATCTCAAACCTATCAAAGCACACTAAATGCACAAAGAATTCAAAGTGAGAATTTCAGCTGAAGACTTATCAACAACATCCCGTCCAAATGTTTGCATCCTGAAATGTTTCTACAACTGTTTGTGAACTGTGATAGCTGCATCTGTTGTGGCAGCTCACCACACATACAACGCACACAGAGGTGAACATTTAAAATACGGCAAAATATAACGTCACACGTCTGCATGTGTGTTAGGACATTGTGCGCGCATCAGCTCCCCCCCCCCTTAAATCTCTTTGAAATACAGTCATTTCATTTATGTATTCTTGGTACAGATAACTGTGGAAAGTAAATGATATCAACTACCAGACTCCTGGTATTGTAACATTCTCAACTATATTCACATTAAAACTATACATTCTTTGTGAAGTATGCAGTGAGGGCTGCAGGTTAAACAGAAGAAACAAACATAAGAGAGGTGAGGGAGAACTGGAGACACCAGATGGATAAATGCATGAGAGACACTCCATTAGAAACCAAATATTTTCAGAGATTAGAGCCAGTCTTTCCAGATGAGCTTGGTCTACACTTATTCTGACAAACTCACAATGTCAAAGCAGCACAGTCCTTCTGAATGTGTGGTAGGCTTCTAACATACACTACATGGACATAACCAGCACCTGACTCATAAGGTACAATTTATTTGATTTTCAAGACACCATAGAAACATGGGGCAACCTTTATGATTAGCTACTCGGTGACATACATGCAGAAGTCTTCTGCACATGTGCAAATAGTAGAGAGAAGTAAATGAAGGGTATAGTAGAGAAGATTTGGCATAAACGTGGAAAAAAAAACAAAAAAAAAACAAATGCAGTAAAGTGTTGTTTTCTGCTTGGAAAAACAGAGATTAGTTTGATCCCAAACAAGATGGTAGGTGAGACAACAATGGAGGCTGACAAAGACGGGAAGTTGTGCCGAGCTCCGGCAAACAGACGAGGCACTGGAACCTTCCACCTGCTCCACATCAACCTCCACCTCCACACGCATAAGAAAACAGTCATGTGATGTGCTTTGAGATCAGTGACAACACATTTATTTATAGTTCCAAGTGGGCAGAAAACACAAAGTTACACATCAGTCAGGTATTTAAGATACAGGTTAGACAGCAAAGAGGCTGCAGAGTGTGTTTGCCTTTCACACACTGAGATCGAAAGTAAACAAATCTGTCTTTGTAGAAAAAAAAAACAAAAAAAAAAAACGTAGTCTAACACCACAAAAAGCTTCCGATGATAAAACCTCACTCAAAAATATTTAAAAGTTCTAAAATAGGAGGAGAACAAAATTATCTGGTAACATCTAAACAAACACGAGCATTTAATGCACAGTTTGCATGTATTAATTTACCTGTACAACTTCCAATAAATATTACATTTACTTGTGTGGCAAAAAGTGCTTTAAATTTTGAGGACACACAGTAACAAAGAGTGGCTCATTCTGAATCTTTTTTTTTTTTTTTATCATTCCTCCTCCTCATCCTTCTCTCCTTATTTGCCCCCCATGCTCTCCTTTTAGTCCCCTAATCCATCTCTTCCACCTCTCCCTCCATCTGTCCCACCCGTGATACAATCTGCTACTTCCGGTGACACAGCACCAAAGCCACAACCCCCTTCCTGCTGCTAACACTGCCTAATAAGGACTGCCTCAGCCTGAACAATCGATGCACACACAGACTCACAACACACACACAGCTTCTATGTTTCCCTACAAGTTGGTAACATTTAAATTCAGTTCATATTAATTGGAAATGACATTCTGGCTTTGATGATCATAGCACAGATAAACAAAAGAGTATGTAATGAGTAAAGAATTAGAATTTCATTAAGTGCCTGGATGCTGGGTCATCTCCAACCAGATCTTTAGGACAACATACATCCCTATGATTAGGAGTATTTCAGTCAGTAAGTTTAACTGGAATCTGTCTGTGGAAACACCACAGCAAATGATTTTGGGTTTGCTTTTAATCACTGCAATGTGTTACATACACTTGACTTCCTGTGATTGTGTTATTTTCGCACAAGTCTTACAATAATTATGCCCAAAGTGTATGCTGCTCCAGTTTTTTTATATTGATTTTCCCTTCTCTGTGCTTTTTGGTAACTTTACTCATGTTTACAATAGTTTAGCGAAAAACTATTAAAAAAATCTGGCAACAACAAATTTTGTCTTCAACTACTGGGTTCAAGCAATTTGTGGGACTTCATTTTTAAACTTGAAAAATCACACATTCTTTCATGTAGGGCTGAACAACATGGAGAAAATATCTCATTTGCAATTTTATTGAATGTTCATGCAATTTGATTTGCAATATATATATATTTTTAAAGAAAAGCTTCACATCAGTATTCACTATGTAATACATTTATAACATGTTGGAGCATTACCACATGAAATACTATCAAAGGTATGACTGTCACGCAACAGTTTAAACCCAGGGTCAGACACTCTGTGTAACATATATACTAAATTGCAGCCTTTGCCAAGAATTATAGTATTGTTTGATCTAACTTTGGACAACATTCAGACAAGTTAAAAGCGCTGAGCAAGACAGAACAAAACAAAAATGACAAAGAAAAAATAGTGGATGAAACAGGTTGAGGTAGGAACTTCAGCATTAGAGGTCAGTTTTGTTTTGTTGTTTTTATCCTCCCAGAATTGTATGATTACTCAGAATCTAAAAATACTTATTCTAATATTGTATGCAGTATCAGTATGCTGTAAAGAGGCCTCAGTCTGATTAGAGGATAAATACAGATAAATTGTCAGGGTTGACATATTGCCTGACTAAGCTAATTGCAAATTGCAGTTCTATAATGTCGGTCAATACATAACAAGAAACTGCATTAGAGAAATGGCAAAGATGTGCTTGAGATAATTTAGAAACTGTTTGCCAATGCTGATTTTGTCCACTTGAAAGCACTGATTTCCCTAGTTTATTTTTAATATGACAATGCCCCACTTAATATACATCTTGGTCAAAATTCTAGGTCAAAAATCCTTCAAAGTGTCCCTACCAATAGTGGTAGTATATGTTTAAAAGAATTTGTCACTCTGGGATGTTTTCTAACACTCAAATATGAATTTTCATATCAGCCTCTAAAATCCTTTTTTTTTTTTCCTTTTAAAAAGAAAAAATCAAACTCAAGGGTCAAAGGGTGTTTCAAAAACACTCAAAGTTATTTTGAAACCAAATACAAGACTTATAATTTTACCAGTCAGTTTGACAAGGCATGGCAAAGTTTCTGCAGATTCACACAATCCTCTGGAAATGTTAAAACAGTACCTTGGATATTTGTTTTTATTATTTGAGCTTAATTAATCAATCAATCAATCAATCAATCAATCAATCAAATCAAATCAAATTTATTGTAATTTTGCTGTACATACACAATAGTACAGGCAAGATGAGAGAGCGTTTCTTCAGGATCATTTAATTAGTAAGGCAAGACACTAAACGTTCACTCTTGCTGCCTCCTGAAGGGGCCACAGTGTCCATGCGCACTGCCATTCGTTGAACATGGTGAACCTCTTCAGGTCCTGGTAGGTCTTCAGCGACACAAAGACACACACAACGGTGTGACGATGGTGAAGCTGCAGATGCTGCCCAGAGCTCGCTGTATGTCTGTCTGCCCGGAATAATGTCGTCCCCTCCAGCTGTATGTCCGTCTGGGATGTCGTCATGGAGCCATGTTTCTGTTAAAGCAAACACACAGCAGTCTCTCCACTCTCTGAGGGTTTCTCCCAGCAAACGTAGCTCGTCCAGCTTGTTGTTGAGGGAGCGGATATTGAAGAGTAGGAGTGACGGTCCTGCTGGTCTGGAGGGGTTAGCCTTTAGCCTAGCATGGATCCCGGCTCTCGCTCTCTTCTCCCTCTTTTGTTTACATTCGCACTGTTTGCGCTTCCTTTTCTCTCGGGTAGCTGCTGGCATAGTCTCCGATTGGACTCCCTGTTGGCACAGCATGTCCGAATCACAACCGATCGCCGCAATTCCAGCACCATTCACTGTCCTGACGCCCAGCAAAGTCTCCCGGCCACAAGTTTTGCGGAGTGAACGTCTGGGATAGACAAGACACTCAAAACATCATTTTCGTTGTCTCCTGAAGGGGGTGCTGCGTCTATGCGTGCCGCCATCACCATGGCAACTAAACTTAAATTAACTGAAAAACGGAAAATCCTGCACACAGAGATCTAAGTTACATAACTATGTTAATTAACAACAGCATACATAAAAATGATTTTTCCAAGGTTGACGAGGCAAACTCAAAACAATCCTTCAACAGACAAAGACTAGCCCATCACTCACTTCAAGCATGTTAAAACCTCGTATGGCTGGATTGATCCTACATCAAACAGAGCACTGCAATATTCTCTGATCTCATCTGCATCAAGCCTGCTGTTGATGTGCTGGGCAGAGAGGGCTTATGGG